CAGACACATACACACATATATGTACATATGTATCTAACTATATCTCTATAAATATATCTACAGTATATATATATATATACAGGTAAACACACACACACACATATATATATATACATACACACATACATCATACTTCTATGATTATATCATTATCTATGATTGTCATTGATTATCTCTCTGTTTGCATTTTTGCAAAGAGTTGATCATCTTTCTATAGCTCTAAGTTTCCGATAACCTGAGCTGCAAGCCATTCACCACGAAGTAGACCCTGTCCACGTAGCCATGGTCACACCTCGACTAGCCGGTTCCGGTCGGGAAGCTTCGGGAAGGCACAGGGTCATCCCCAAACCAATGGTTTTGGTATGATGGGATAGGGGTTAATATGGGATAATAGTGGGATAATGATGCGGATAACTATGGGATAAGTGACTGTAATGAACCAGCCCCAGTGGAGGTGAATATTTTACTGGCTTGGGTATTAGCCCTATTAGATTTATATAATGATTTGGGATGGTGCAAAATGAGCCCCCAAATGGTTGGTTAATAGGTCATGGGATGGTTTATGACTGGGTTTACCACATGACTCAGTTTCTTTAGCCAAAGGTCAACCTCAACAAACGTCTGGGACTTCCTCAGGCTTTGCCAGGCACCCCGGCGCGAATTTGGCCAAGCCTACATGATTCTCATGGATTGGGTCGAAGGTGCCAAAATACACCCCCACCTTATGTTTTCGTTGCCTGGGCAGCTGACGCCTGACCCGCACATTTTCAAGATGGAAGCCGGCAACTGGAGTCCCCATGATGTCAATGTGACAATCCAAAGGCACGAGAACACATTAAATAATATTAAATACATATCATATATCATCATATGTTATATATTACACTATATTCCTCAAACGTCAGTGTGGGTTTCGATGTTTGGATTTCTCAAAGGAGGAAATGACTGATCTATTGGTGGTGAATCATTTTGCTCTACCCGCATGAGATTTCACCAGGAATCATTTTGGGAGTGGATTCCTAGCCCTGGGAACCCCTGGGTCATCCATGGCCAGGCCTTGGCTGACGGATGGGCTCCTGGAACGAAACGAATAGGATGGCTAAGGTTACAGTCAATCCCTCGGTATTTTCATGGTTTTGCCAAAATTGAGCAACAACTGAAGTACTAGTTTAGGTTATATCATGCTTGTATATACTTGTATTGTATGCCCATGGTGCAAAACATATGAGTTGCTCGACATCTCCTGCTGAGAGGATGATTTGTCAATCGAACAGCGGGATTTGATTTTCTGCATTGCCCTGACCTCCTATAGTGCCCCGGAGCGAGTACTCTCGAACAAAGTGCCTGCGTTATTGTAAAGTGTCATCTTGACTTTAACCCAAATTCTATTAATCAGAAAGAATCCTGCCGTTACCCTCCTGTTGCACTTCAGCAAGGGGCTTTATGCAAGGGACTCGTCAACCACATGTTCTATAATGTTCTATAAACGTAAAGGGGTGTCAGCTACAATGAGGAGTTGCATGAGGAAATCTTACAATTTTCACGCATTCCAAGTGACCCGAAAATCACATGTGTGTGTCACTAACTTTCACACCTAAATCACGGGTTTTTCAAACGCTCTTCACGCCTTTTTGGTTGACACCATTTGATTCTGATTGAAGTGCGAAACCACGTGAAAACAATCTCTGATGATGTTCACATAACAAATGTTATGGTGGCATATGGTGGATGCATGGTTTGATATGTTGATTGATCATATTTTATCATATTTTCACATATTTTCCGATGATCAATAGTGCCTTTCCCAAGTGAGCCATTTCATGATGCGCAAGGAATGGAGGTCAGCGTTGCCATGGCTGGAGTTGGACCATACCCTCCGGCAAACAAGCCTGGCAAGTGTACATCCCAACCTTCGAGAGAAACATTATGGAACATCAATTCATTTGCTGATGTTCATGAAATTTCCATCTGGCAGTGTGTCAAAACCTTGTACCCCTGGTGAACATCAAAATAGCTGGTAAATGGATGTTCATCCCACTAAAAATGGTATTAATAGGTTTTGACCCATTCCCATCTGCCAGGTTTGGATTCTCAGTGGGCCCCCTGTTGCTGGACGTTTGCGTCCCTTGTGCACTGACCCTGTTCTTGTTGGCCATCGTCTCACCAGACCCCAAATCTCGTCCTGCCAGCCGTGCCATTCATGCCAGTCATGGTGCCATGAAGGGTAGCTCCAGCCCCAGTCACTCCAGTCACTCCAGTCGGTGTTCTGGTGCCATCTGGCCAGGGGCAATGCAGGGTTTAGTAATTTACCCTCTGGTAAATTAACATAGACCCTGAAAATGACCAATTTATAGTGGAAACTAGTCTTCCAAACCCTATCTGCCAGGGTCTATGTTAATTTAACAGAGGGTAGATTCCACTGTTTCCACGACTATGATGACCAATCATCTTGAATCGATGTAGTACATGGCAACACTGCGCAGATTCCAACCCTTCAATCAGTAGGTGAATGCAGGGCGCCCTCATGGCCGTCACCCCACAGACAAACTCTGGCCACAACCTGGTCACCATGAACTGATCATGATCCATGCCTGCGCTGGCTCATGCAGACAGCGTCCTTTTTGGCAAGTGTGTGTGTGTGTGTTGTGAATGTTTGGATTTTTGAAAATGCCGTTGGGGTATGATGTGGCATGATTCCTAGGAAATCAAAACATCAAATATGTAATGTGGACCTGGACCCCCAAAGAAATTGTCTGCTCGTAGCAACTGTCAGCATCCTTTTCTAGGTGAATGTAAAACTGTGAGTCATGATGAACCTAGCAGAGCGTCTACCATGCGAAAAATGATGACTCATTCCATGGCATTGCTTGGTCAGCTTGATCAACAAGCGAAGCGAGCAGTATCAAAAAGGATCCATTGGCATCTAAGAAAAGGCATTATATATGTATCCTAATGGTGCCACACCCAATCCTTGCATATGGCACATATTTACCCATTACCTATACCCAAGTGCCAAGCAAAAGCGGGGCATTGGAATCCCAGAGCTGGATCTCCAAAGATCCACAATGGTGCTTTCCTCCTGAAACAAATATGCCAAAGTCTTAGTCATTGGGAATTATCATCCCAAATAATGGGAATTACTTATATAATTATATTAATATATATATATACAAATATATGTACCATGGTACGTCACGTTGGTTGGATTAAGCCATATTGGGGAATGATTGCAATGGTCATCAGCCCATTACGTTGCCAATGATGTTTGGATTCCCATCGGATGGCATATTGGTTCTGTACTCATTAGATCTCATTAGTTACATCTCCATTTTTAGATGAAACACATGAGTACAGCATACACATCATACCACATCATAAATTACATAAAAGATCATAAAAGTACCATACCAGGCACATCTGAAACAAGCATTTATAATCATACCATCAGTGGTTGAAGAGAAAACAATACTTTGCTCATCTTCGTGCCGTCTTCTTGCCATTTTGCTCACGCCAGGTAGCATGTGTAGATATAGATGATATATGTAGATCTATAGGTCCAACATGGCTGAACATGGACGTGTGTGTGTGTGTTCTTTTATGGTGAAATTAATTTGCATCCATTTGTTTTCTGGTGACTCTGCTGGGGGGAGCATCATCCAAAGCAGCTGACACATGCTGACACCTCAGCTTTTAAGGTGTTTATTAACATTTCTTAAGCACCACCAATCCATCTTAGGGGCCTATTAAGCCTCCATTCTTTCATTCATGTGGGGTCGTTTGGACAGGGTGTAACAGTGCGACGAGTGGTTCGTGACACACGAGACTCTCCGCTCTTCAGCGAGCCTCGTAGAAAGGAACCGGCCGGTTCTAGTAGGGCACGGTTCGTGTCCCAAACGAAGCTGAATGCAGAGCTGCACTATCCCAACATCTGGGTTTGGAACATGAATTATCTTTTCAAGAGTGTCATGTTTGGTCCCACCGTACCATGTTAGTTGCAGATCCTGGTGAAGGCCAAACTTAGACACACATGATATGCATTTAGTCGCCCTTTGTGCCACGTAAAACTCTGTTGAAATTACCACATTAGGATTTGACCATTGATCCGAGAGTCGCTGGCATCCGGTGGCCAAGTTCATTCGTAAACATGGGTCAACATGGGTCAACCATCAACTACCACGCTTCCATACGCTTCCCGTGTCTCATAAATGTCCAAAATGGACCACTGCTTGCTTCATTCAGAATCCAACTGGCAGTGGCTCTTCCGCTTTCAAAGCACCCAGCCGGAACGCAGAACGAGACTTGGTCCAAAATCATCCGTGTCGAGTGATGGGTAGAAACAAAAATGTATAGATATGACACCTGATGTGATCATGTTATGATGTCTGATTCGATGTAGGTATAGAAAATATAAATAACATGTAATTACCATGATGCCATACACGATGGTCTGAGGACTATTTCAATGACTTGCTTGTCTCATAGGTCGGGTGCTCCTGCCACGGTTCAGGCAGTTTTTAACCGCAAAAAAAGGTGAAACCAAGGTGTTTCCGCACATGAACCATGGAATGAATGTGCGTGCAACTTACAATACTACTTACAGCTAACTATGACTCACAAATTGCTCTGAACAAGAGTCCCAAGAAATCAGAGGCATCATAGCTCAAGCATGCTCAAGCAGTTGAACCAACAATACCCTTTCAGGAAAAATAAATGGCCGATTTGGCATACCATGTATCCTCGTTTGTCGTTTGTCGAATCGTGTATGTAATTGTTTATCATTGTTCATGTACATGTGTATATATTGATCATTTAAAATAAGTTAGTCATTGATTCCAGGGGAGGGTGAACCCCTCTATTGACCAACCAACCAGTACAGAAAAGGACATAGCATAAATCTCCCTGCTGATCTGTGCCTTCCCTTTGTTGGCGCACACCTTGTCTGTGAGACCGTGAAATTTCCGAGCTACAAGTACTGGGGTGTCGAGGTCAGCGCCGCGCCATCAAACGTAGTGACCCGTGTGACGAATCGACCGCTTCCTGCCGGTGCTGAGGTTCTTTTGGTGCATTTCCTCAGTTGCGAAAGGAAGGCGAAATTGGGGCATTCAATGAAGCCATAGATGGGTCATTTTCTGGGATATGAACCCATCCTAACCCATCCATTGGGGATTTGGGGTTATATATATATATATATACGCAGTGAAAATATGGTTACAGTTCCAGTGTATAATATGTTGAGCTATTCCCATGTAGGCAACCTTTTAGATGAAAATTGATGAAGGATCATAGAGGATGATAAAAATAGATTGAAGAAAGGGAGCGACGCCAACAAGCTGGTAAGCTGCAAATTCAGTCGTCAAGCTGCTGCCAGAACCAATTCCCTTTGTAACGTGGCAAGGCCTCCCCGAAAAGAATTTAAAGTAAACCGATTTTGTTGAAGGCCTATAGCCCCACTGCTTATATAATATATAGGTACCTGTGGTTTTTCGCCACGGTTTATGAAAATTCCAATTGCATCACCTTCCCAAATAGGATAGACGATACTATTTAATATATTTGAAGCCAAAGGCCAGATGTATCCCCAGGATATTTGTGATATATTCATATTCATATATATATATGTTCATATATATATATGTTCATATATATATATATATATATTCAAATATATATATATATATATACAGAATGTGTGTGTGTATGTTCCCTTCTTTTGCTGTTTGAAGCCCCCCAACAAGTCTTGGGATCTTTGAACTCACCTACCAAATTATCCAAATTCCCATGGATAGCTAAGAAATGTTAAGGATATCATAGAAGCACCATATGTTTGATGCTAAAAAATATGCTAACATCCAACATGCCCAGGCTTGAGCCTAGGTTCCACCAGGTTGATCTCATAGGCTTGGCCTCGAACTGTGACTTGGAAAGCCTCCTCGCCTGCGCGAAGATGCGCTGCGATGGGGTCAGATTTGCTGGGTGATTTCTTTTTGATGATTGATGTTGGGAACATTTCGGAACTGAGGGCGCGTCCAAAACTTTAAGATCTTGAAAGCATCCAAGGACTCCAAGTAACTATCATGAACCAGTCAGAAATGCTGGAAATGATGCAGTAATTTGGTGAGAGAAACCATGGGCTAGGGAGGGCCGAGATATCTCCACTTTGGCGCAAACACGTTACGTTTGAGGGCTGCGACTCAAGTTTGAAACTTACACCGTCTGGTTTCCCATGTTTGAGCAAACCATCACTGCACTCAACTTAAATTTCATGTTGAATCACCTGGTCTTCAAAGAACAGGGCGCTTGGAGCAAGCGCTTGGAGCAAACCCCTTTTGGGCGGAGACATTTGAGTAATAAATCTAAACCTAAACAATGGGTTACTAACCCAGAAATTTGTTTTGGCTTCCCAAGTCCGTCGTCAATTTGGGTGATGGTGGAAATCCATCGAGGTCCAGTATCTTGTTGCCATTGCCAATATTCGATGCCCATGTTTCTCAAAAACAAATCCAAACAGGACGTTACGGTCGGAATATAGTCGTTCGTGGCATATTAACACATGCAACACATTAACTATATATACTTTATGCACATCAAGGTTGACCACAGCCTCTGGCTTGGGCATCATCAATTTCAAGGGAAACATCAAGGTCAAAGTCTATCCATCCACCTGCCAGTCATGGCACCAAAATTTGCGCCATGCGAAACCTGAGGTTTCCATACGTTTCCCCCTTGAAATCTGACATGGCAACAACATATTCATGACAGTTCCCTTTCTACATCGATTTAACATCTGGCAAAAAAAAAAAAAAAAATTGGGCATCTTAATGCCTGTTTTCCAGAGATGCTCCAGGATTTCATAGTCCAGTTTAGCACATGACCGCATTGAGGGGAACTGGAGAACTCCATGTTTCTGCCATCCGCCTCCTGGCCCTGCTTTCACTTGCCACCGTGGGGCGGTGGCTCCCACCTGAGAAACCATTAGGATCCAACTCAAATCTCTCGAGATGGCTCAGGTGGCTGTTTTAAGCTCAGGTTGAAAAACGTGGGCTCGAAAAAATTGGGCCAGCCACATCATAAGAACCTACAAACATCTGAGAAATCAGGCAGTTATAGGCCATTGGGGCAGTTGAAAGACCTTCACATCTCTGTGGATGTCAAGGAGTCAAGGACAAACCTATTTCTCGCAGGTTCCAGTAGAGATTACTCTACTGACGGTCGAAGTGCCATGGGTCCAACCTTTCATGACGCCATCGGCCTGTCAAATGGATCCGAAATGTTTTCCGCTGCAATCATCTGCAAAGAGATTTTTGCACACAGAGTGTAGGTTTGCCCGTTTATACTTTAATATTTCGGGATGTGGATCAAAATTAGACCCAAAATAATCAAACCATCTGTGGTCCCATGGGTCTTTCAACTTTGATCCATACAAGTATCCATCTGAGCCATAATGCCACCATCCCTGCTGAAAAAAAACTGCCTGGCTTAAAGCTATTCCTGTTGTGGGCTGTAAGAAGCCCCAATAAACTAAGCGGTATAACGGTATAACCGACAACAATCACGACCAACCTTTGTGTGGTTATATACAAGTAGAACCCGCGCAAGGCGGGTGGCGGAAATTTCCAGGTTTAAGAAGTGTAACGCTATAGGATCCAAAGACAAGGCTTGCCTATAGTACTATAGGAGATGCAGCGGACCCTGACAGCTTCTCAACTATGTTCTGTGAATTCGTCGTCACTTTGCCTCACCCCTTTTCAATTGTGACCACCACTTCTCAACTCTTCTCAAAGCATCTCAGCTCTTCCCCTTTTTCGCAACTCTTTTCAACAGCTCTCAAAGTTGTTTCATCACCTCAGCTCAACTCTTTTCACCTCTTCCCTGCTCTTCTCAACTCTTCTCAACGACTCTCACCTCTGCCTACATCGTCTTAACTCTTTTCAACTCTTCTCAACTCGTCTCGGCTCTTCTCACCTCTTGACACCTCTTCAACTCTTCCCACCTCTCCTCACCTCCGCTCAACTCATCTCACCTCTTTCTCAGCTCTTCTCACCTTCTCAACTCTGGCCAACTCTTCTCAACTCTTCTCACCTCCTGTCACAGAGATGCTTACACGCAGAGCAAATTTTTACACGGAGAAGCAGTTACACACAGCAAGCTCTTACACAGAGAAGCTCTCACACACAGAAGCTTTTACACACAGCAAGCTTCTACACACAGCAAGCTTTTGCACAGAGAACACACAGGAAGCTTTCACACAGAGAATCTTTTACACAGAAGCTTTTACAGAGCAAGCTTTTTCACAGAGCAAGCGTTTACACAGAGAAGCTTTTACATAAAGCAAGCTTTTACACGCAGCAAAATTTTACACAGAGAAGCCTCACATTAAGCTCTTACACAAAGATAAGTTTTTACACAGAGAAGATTTTACACAGAGCAAGCTTTTTCACAGCGCAAGCATTTGCACAGAGAAGCCCATACACAGAGAAGCTTTTACACAAAGCAAGCTTTACACACAGCAAGCTAACACAGCAAGCTTTTACACAGGGGAGCTTTTACACAGAGAAGATTTTACGCAGAGCAAGTTTTTTCACAGAGCAAGCTTTTGCACAGATAAGCTCTTGCACAGAGAAGTTTTTACGCAAAGCAAGCTCTTACACAGAGAAACTTTTACACAAAGCAAGCTTTTACACGGAGAAGCTTTTACACACAGCAAGCTTTTACACAGAGGAGCTTTTACACAAAGCAAGCTTTTGCACAGAGAAGCTTTTACACACAGCAAGCTTTTTCACAGAGAAGCTGCTACACAGGATGCGCCAAGATTGAGAAATTCCCGCTGCCAAAGCGCCATTCGCAACCTTCATGCAGCCACTACATTTTGCCATTTACGATTCTCAGCTGCAAAAGACATTAAAGTATTCTGCACGCAGCCGCAGCACCTGAATTGACGCAGGTGCCCACTGGACACAATGATCTTTGGGCTAGTGAGAATAAAACCATCCGTAACTCGGAGTTTCCTCCATGAAACTTCCTTTGATAATATCATGTTATATCCACATGTTCAGTGGTTCGAACCCATGTTTGGTGGTCAATTAATTATGACCCAACTTTAGTGGTTGTCAACCAGCCAGCAAGGATACAAATAATACAATGATATATTTACATATATAAATAACACATAAATATATATAAACACATAAGAAGGCTGGGCATGCCATAATTACACAAGTGTACAGTATATGGTTCACTGTTAGCTTCTATCAACCCATATGATGCGTATTTTCCCTGGCTTATACAGGTTTCTCTGAAAATAGGATACCCTTGAATCCGTTGGTTTACGATCATCGTTTCCCATTAACATGGCCATTTGCGGTAGCCACCCTTTTGTCTGTGCACATCCAAGTCCAGTAAGAATTGGATACAATATAAATCCAGTCAAATCCCCAAAATCTTTGATGGTTAAATCCCCTTGTACATATCACCGTAGGTCGACTTTGTTACGTCTTATTCACTTCATATAACTAGATTTTTGATGATGAAATCCCCTTTGGCTGCTATACCCTCTGGTAAACTAACATAACTATGGAAAATCACCATGTTTAATGGGAAAATCAACTATAAATGGGCTATTTTCAATAGCTATGTTAAATTACCAGGGGGTAACTACAAAATACCGACGTACCGAGCGTTCGCCCCGGTCATCCGTTGAGTGACCGGATGCGGCACCGGTGCGGAAAACTCCGCTGCGCTGACATCCTCCTGGGGCATCGGCCTGCTAAGCGGTGCGATGATGGTAAGAACTGCTAGGGACATACATACATATATAATTATAGCATATATATATATTGCAAATATATATTATAAGATTTATAAGAAACTGTTGGCTTTTATGTTATGTTATACTATTCTTATACCGGTATTTTATATACTTAAATATGTATATATATATATATATGCTAATATGTGTATCACCATATGAGAGGAACAAAGGAAAAACATGGAAACACATGGAACCATCCCCATGTGGCGCGCTTTCCCATCTACCCATGGTCGGTTAGTTCCTCAACATCTGATGACCAACTCGGCTCAAGCCGTGTTGCTGCTGAATAATCGCAATGTTAAACATTGTTAAACACCCAAAAGGTCCCAATGAATATGGAAATTCCCTACTATTATATGGAATTTATATGGAAAATGATATGATATGATATTATATATATATGGAAATGACCTACTAAGCCATGGTTTCCTATTGGGGTGGTTTACTATTGACACTATTGGGGGGATGAGATGATCGGATCTTTTGAAGGACTCAAACTTGGCGACCAAAAGTCACTCTTGGCGACTAAACAAGCCTCCAATGTCGCAACACGCCTACAGTATCTCTCTCTTGGCATTTCCTTGTAACCGATCATGTCAATCGATTGCTTCTCATTAGTCAGTGCTTCTCTCTAAAAATGGTGATTTCAGAGGATGACAGATCCGGGTCCGGAGATTTCAGCTTATCCGGAAAAACATATCTCAATACTCAATACATCCTCCCTAAAAGCAAAACACCACCAGAAACCCTGGCTTGAGTTGTAGATCGATTCATCATGTGATTCCAAGTGCATGTTCGTATCCTTCGTAGCAGCGTTGTAGCCAAAATCTACCACCTTTGGGTTAATGAAACCCCATGTGATTCCAAATATTCCAACATCCTGAACAAGTGACGCCCATGACGCTAAAACGGAGCCGGACCTCTCCGGTTCTTCATAGTCTGCGTCACGCTGCTTCTTTTCACTGCGAGGGGGAAGACTTCAAGTTGAGAGCACGAAGGATGAAACACATGTTGGACTTATATATATATATGTGTTATATATATATAAATGGATAATGCATCTATCAACCTGTAAGACTATAAATCTACATCTGCTGTATATAACTGCACTTTAGTATACAGTACATTCATATGCAACAACATCAAGTTGCAGTGGGCATCTGGGGGTCTCTTTCCAAGAATGCTCAGCAGGACAACTTCTGCTGCCATGGGTAATTAATGGTAATTAACGCTGACAGCTTCACATGCGAACCCCTGCATGTAAAAGCTGCCGCCAGGAACGTTCAAACAGTTTGGATGCACTTGTGCAATGGTCGAACCAACTTTTTGAGAATGTCAAAAACGAATATCAAAAGTGAACCCCTTTCAACGCTTCATTTGTGTAAACATGTGGGTTGGTTTGAAAACCGAATACCCCTAAAAACCGATCATGTCTTATCATGTTTCCCATTGAAATTACCATAAATGGAATAGCATCCCTAATCTGCGGACACACCCAACTCCAGTAATCATTGGTTCAATAATGATTGTTACTTGCAGTAAAATCCCATTGTTGATGCTTGAAATCCTTGTGTATAATGTAATTGTCTGCAATAACTATGTCACAAGGGTTTGTAGAAAGTGATCTCACGACAATCTGCTCAAACTTGGCCTTGCGCACAGGGAGGTGCAAAGACATCCTGATCGCAAAGGTCATGAGATATCACCTCTGAAATGGGGGCCAACTACACGAGGTATCTGCTGGGTGATGCAACCCAAAATTAGTAAAAATGGGGCCTACCGGCCTACCCCAAATCCCATGCCTAATCATCTATATATATATAATCATTATATATTTGTTGATTGAAAATACCATGTAGGAACTCATCAGTGGACACATCCATCTCTGATCTTTCATGATCTCCGGACCGCAGGCCTGCGGAATTTCAGGTACTGCAAGAATTATACTGAGCATCTTAAGGACATATATAGAACCCAAAGGGAAACCACCTTATTTTTTGGGATTTGGATGACCACTGCACTTATTTTACCAGAGTTCAAGTTCTTGGAGGCGAATTCTTGGGGCCCAATTTGAACGTGGAATCTGGTGGCAATTAATACAGTACTGATATGCTCTTCCCGTTTGGGCTGCTTCAATCAGAGTCTATCGGATCCCCTATAATCTTCCGGCTAACCCAAAACATCACACAAATTATACCATTGAATCAAGGCCCTTGGAATGTGCCAGTGTCTGTCGAAAATGGCTCGCCCCTTCCACTTGTCAATAAGACCGTCACCGGGTTTGCTATGACATGAAGCCCCAGAAAGTTGATTTGGGAAGGTGATTTTGCGGTTGGGCATTGCAATTTCTAACTTCCAGTCATTTCGGCACCACCCACTCCCACTGAGATCCCGCACCTGCTGCGCATAACATGCAAGCAAAAGGCAGCACCATGCCAATAAACTGGGAAGGAATGATGCAATGACCCAAAACTGGGATTCAATATGGTTTTGCCCCAGCAGTTGAATGGTCCAACGTCATCACATCATTCCCTTCCCACCACATGACCAACCTTCCACCACCAAGTTTGCAAGCATTTCAAACCTCCTAAGATCATTGAGGATCGTCATTCCAAACCGGGGGGCTTACATTGAAAACATTTGAAACGTTTTGAAACACTTTGAACCCACCAGTTAAACCAATAATTGCCAATAATGAATGAGAAACGCCCCTATGAGTTGAATTTTTAAAACACAGCCTTAACCTCGACTAGCTCAATGAGTCATGGATATTAAAGGAGGAATCTTCAAGCTATCCTGTTTCTTATAATTACCCTTGTCCGGCATCCTTCAAGCCGTTAAAGTACCTCAGCATTGCCCCACCCTCAGGATATCTCAACTCCACCCCCCCCAAAACGCAGGGCGTTTGCCGCCCTTGGCGCCAAGGCCAAGAGACAGGATTTACCGCAGCCTGCGGCGACTGCAGCGTAGAATCCAGCTGATGTATCTGATAAATTGTGAATCCTTTTGTGCATCTGTTAAAAACCTACAGGCCTACAATGCCAAAACTCAAGCAGGACGGGGTTGACTCAGGTATCTAGCGTTTCGACTCACACTCATGCAACAGAGTTAAAGATGGAAATAGCGCTGACATGAGTTCCAGGCAAATGAATGGAACGTCAGCCGACAATTTCCAAGCCATGGTGCCATGGTATAGCATCATTTGGCAGTTAAGTGTTAACTTGAACCCACCTCCCCCCCGCCACACTCTGGGCTCCCCTGGCTAGCACTTGGGCACCTGAGCCAAAGGTTCAACCTGCCTCTGAAAATCTCATGGCTCTTGGTGTTTAGCCATTGAACCGTGGGAACCATGGCCATTGACTTCAATGGCACCCTGCCCCAAAAAATAATGCTACCCCCAACTCACAAATTGACCCGGATTTGGAAGACCACTTTCATCCAAAAGTCCGATACTCTCAGGGTCTACCTTGAACTTGATTTAGGGGATGATAAGGGGGTGGTAATATTTTGTCTTAACAAAACTGCTAGTAATACATATTCATATATTTCCTATGATACCTATTATATATATATAGCCTATATGTATAGCAAGAGATTCAAGGGCTAAAGCAACCATCCAAGATGGACTCACAAAAAATGCCGATCAACCTCTGGATTTCTCAGGTGCCAACTAAGTGGTCCCAGGACGAAAGTTGTTAACCTTCGCCAGCGAAGCCCAGACGCTGAGTACATGGTGCATCTTAAGATCCTGGTGTCTATATAACATTGGATCAACAGCGAAATTGCAGGAATTACACATAATTACACCCACTTGCACATATCAATTGCTTTTTTGTGGGAAAATTGTGCTGAAACCATGCTTTTTCATCTTTTTCCCATGAAATACAGGAGATTCCTGCAGATTCTCTCAGCCAATTCAGCCAAATCATATCGGCAAACACGTGCCGCTGCCAAGGGGCATCGCTACCACCACCACCACAAGAACAATCATGTCCCTCAGTTGGCGATGGATCGACAAAAACAGCTCCTGCTCTCAGCTCATACTATCTCGCATTGCTGGTCGTTTTCGAAGGGTTCGGTCATTTCGATCCATCATCCAACCACTTACCTCGATCCTCCATGACCGTCGACCCTCACTGAGGAGATCGCTGGCAACCTTCCGCCATTGCGATGGTCCGCGGCTGGCAGAAAACGTGAATCTAAGCGGAAATCACTCGACGCAAAATGGCGTCATTTGCATCATTGCGGTGGTGGTAAACGTCGATATAGTACTATATAGATCTATATAGTGATAGCGATCACTAGGTGGTGAATTCCTCCGTATACAGGTGCTGAAATGCATCATAACTACATGCTTACACCAATAGATACAGCCGCATCCTCACCGGACTCCACTGCTAGGTGCCACCCTCGAGCCAAGGGTGCTGCAACCATCTGCAACCCATGTTCCATCCCCGGACAGGTCATGAAGTTGTTGCACCGGGTATCCACTCCACTGCTACGAGTAAAGCTGCAGCACTTTTGGTGAGGCGGTGTCTCGGTAGCAACTGGCAGATCTGAGCCCAAAGTCTCAACGTGGAATCCTGCGGCTGTGCGGTAGCTGAACAGCCATTGAGAAAGCAGTGCTGGCGACAAAAGAAGAAGAGATAATGAGAAATACCCTCTGGTAATTTAACATAGCTATGGAAAATCACCATTTTTAGTGGGAAAACTCACTATAAATGGCCATGTTCAATAGCTATGTTAAATTACCAGAGGGTAAACCAAATGCAAAGACAAATGTATAGAAGATCATTTGTAGTGAACAGAGGTAAGAGGTAAGAAAACAAATAATTTTACAGATCTCAATCTCAATTTGAGAAAGGCCATATTGGAGTAGATTGATTGATAGATTGATAGATAAATAGATAGATGTATAGATGCGGTGTATATAATATAAATAAATAAAATAATCAATGAATAGATAAATAAATATATAAATACATGAATAAATATGTATATATACCGGATCAAAGGACTCAAACAAAGTAAATGGATCACATATACATAATCCGAAAGAATGCCAGCACGCAACAAGTCGAAAGGACGGACTGATGGAGCGGCAAACAAACGTCTGTAACGGCAAGGCAGGCGCTGCGGTAAACCACAAGGTGCTGCGGTAAAACACAAGACCACCTGGTTAGACCACATCACATATCTACATGTACATTGAAGCTCTGCACAAACGGATTATTGCAAGGCATCTGAGTGGTAAGGCAGGCCTAGAACCGCTAAATACCGATAGTATTGTAGATATGAATCAGTTGGCCGCGGACTCAGCTAACAGCTAGCTGCAGCTACGGCAGCTATGGCCCCCACCGTCCCAGGTCAGGCTCCTCCGGAGCTGCAGCAAGGCATCCAATGGAGCCCTGCCGATTGAGGGAAAAATGCTGAAGATTTCTAGCATGGACAATATACCAGCGAAGCGCCCGAGGCGTAGTAATTTCGCACTTCTCCGGGTTCACCGCGAAATTCTCACGCCAGGACATTCTCACACTTGTCGCGTTGTTCTATGTTTGTGGCATTTCATCCCGAACAACAAAAACGCACCGTCCTTGTTCATGTTTTTTTCACTACTGGTAGCATCGTCCTCATGCATCATGCGCATCATACGTAGCAATTGGATCAAGCATGCTACCAGAACCAGTTGCGATGAAGGCAGCGGTGCTTTGGCATATATACAATAGTTATTGCAAGTGTCCGAAAAAATGTGCGATGAAAAATGGATGAAAATGACTTTTGGCACTTCTTCATCCTTATTCTATTACCCTCTGGTTATGTCAAAATAGCTATTGAAAATGACCCAGTCGAAATAGTGGTGATTTTCCCATTGAACATGGTGGATCTTTCCATAGTCATCATCTCCCAGGAGTCCAGAGCACATGGGCACCTGCCAAGCGACTTTGCCAAGGAAGTCCACGCTGGCCGCATCTTCGTGCCGTGCCTGGAGGATCCCCACCTGCTATGGATCGAAGTGGTTGAGCCATCTGAAAAATGTGACAGCTGAGATATGCTGAGATCATCATTGATCTTAGGATATCTCAGGATTGAAAATAAGTAAAATAAGAGAAAACAACCGCCAAATGCGAATTTCATGTCACCCAATGCCATATACCATCCCCAAGTCATCACCATTTTTTTGGTATAAACAATGTATAAACCATCCCCAAATATGGTAATTGTTTATGTCATGGTGTTTCCCACACTACAAGAATATTGTAGTGGGTGTTGAATACCCTCCGGTAAACTAACATAGCTATGGAAAATCACTATTTTAATGGGAAAATCCACTATAAATGGCCATTTTCAATAGCTATGTTAGACATAACCAGAGGGTAAGCATCATCCTCACCGTGTCACCGGCCTGCTGGCTTGCGATGTGCTTCACGCATGCGCCAGGTTGCAAGGCTGAAACTTCCACTTCGCCTCACGTTGTCAACTCGTGATGTAGACAGCGGCATCTCCAGGAGTACCGAAGTCACAATTAGGCATCCTTTAAGATTCTTTAACGCAATATGGCTGCCAGCTGCCATGTACACACACACATATATATATATGATAGATATATATATATATATGTAGACTTATGTATATAGACATATGGATGCCAGTTCTTAAAGATTGGACAACGGGGAACATATTCATTGACAAAATCAAGGATAAAATTAGGCAAGAAGTGCTTGTCCCCTAGATCATACTAACAGTCCAACAGAACTGATAAAACATAACCCATGGTCAACAAACATGATGGTTGAAGATCTCAGCGTTCACAAAATAAAATCATCCACTCTCATTTCTGGAGGAGTTTCCATTTCTTTCATGGCCAAAGCGTACATCGACCCCCAATGCGAACAGAACAGTTACAGAAACCTAGACACTACGAGGTCTAGATCATCTACCTGTAACACCCCTTCGAATTAATGAATTACCGTACGTGAAATTACCATAATTTACGAAATCACAATGTACAATAGTAATCAATGGTAACTGCTCAACATACTGCAACAAACTGTACAACATCCATCTGACCCCTGACAGCAGACCACCCCCCAGCGGCGGCCTGTGGTCAGTGCTTCTTCCATTTCCTTGAGCGACATCTGCACGCTGGCCTGCCAGTGGGAAACGAAGGGTGCCCCAAAGCTGATGAAAATTACGTCAGAATCATGTGGTTAAAACAATAATAAACCACCCCATTTTTCATGGTCTATACCACCCATTTATAGTGATACTGGGGATGGTATATTATTGTTTTAACTACATTAGTCTGGAAATGTCTAGAATCAGCTGAAATGGTCTCATCTCATCCAAGATATCCAAATCATACATCTCTAAGTCTTAAAAAGGTCATGCAAAGTGGGCTTGAATCATCCAAAAAACATGATCCATCATATGATCCATCATTCATTTTTGGTTGTGATCCAGGCTCCCGAAACTCTTTACCTCCAGCACCAACCATGGTGAGGGTCCCATCTGGGGTAGACTCCTGCACGCTTTCAGGTCCTAGCCGCCTGTGATCGGTCGAAGGGTTGGATGCAAATGCACAGGTGGTCACTTTGAACCACCATACCTGCCACAGGCGCAACCAACTTCAGAAAAATGGCGAACATGGCGTGATCAAATGAGAGTCCATGTCAGTCAATCATGTCCTTTGGGGAAAAATAGAGGGAACGGTTATATACCATACATCATCTATTGGTTGTTCAATGGGGATGACCACTCTACTAATCAACCAGTGGCACAAAGGACATCTATGAGAATTGGACTGCCAGATATAACTGGGGTAACTTGGGTCCCAGTTGATCCCTTGCATCAACTTACAACAAATGAACATAGACATGATATGGACAATCCACCATATATATATACTGTATATATATAATTTCTGGATCATTTCCTGGGGAACCTTCCATCACTTTTCTGTGTTTTGTTCTGTTAGTTACCATCTGGTTATTTAACGTAGCTATGGAAAATCACCACTTTTTAATAGGCAAATCATCACAAACCATCTATGAATAGACCATGTTCATCCATTTTCCATGTTAAATCACCAGAGGCTAACCTCAGGGCAACATCCTTCACCATCCTTCGCTGAAAGGTGCCGAGTTGCCCCAGCCATTCTGGTCGCGCAGCACATCGCCCATATCAGGTCCAGGCCTTTCGCTTCGCGGGGCGAGGTCCTGAATGAGAGGCCCCTAAGCACTGTTTCAGGATCTGATTTGGACCACCACATGGGCATAAATGTGATCATAAGGTCATAAATATCATAAATATCCTAAACATCATAAATATCATAAATATCATAAATGCAAGTCAGAAAATCCGAGAAATATTTTGGAAGATCACACGCTTCTCAGACACTCTCACGCCTCACATTGCTTTGAGATCAAGTCGATAGAGTCTATATGAGGCAGCCGCGTCCTGGATGGCAGCATTGGTGGTGTAGCCACTTTCTGTCCGCAACAGCACCATAGCAGGATGATCAGCGTCGCTTAGCACCACTGCTTTCTCCACAGTCTGATCACCTCCCAGAATCAGATTTCAGGGATGGGAGAAACTGCAAACATCTGGAACTACAGAACCAAATAAGTCCAAACATCACAAAAAAAAAACAAATATCAATCATCAGATCATATATACGCATCATCACTATTAAGTGATATATAATTGTATGTGATGTATGCCACACAATGCCACACACAGATAGTTTTCATACAATACAATATATATCTATATATATATGTATAACATACACGCATAGTATACATATGTATACATCGTACTAATACATGATAATGGTAGTATGTGTGCCACTTTGAGCTGTTTCTTAAGGGTGGCCTGTCATGTGGTCAGCCTGAAGTTCTACTGCTGCTACCATTGACTAGTCTTCTCAGCAATAAACAGGGCACCTTCAGACTCAGCTATGAAAAAAATGTAAACCCTTGGGGCATGTAAAACCCTCCGTGAAGCCAATACCTTTTGCACATGTACCAATTTAACAAATGATTTGGATCCAGAAGATTTCATAAGACTAAAAATCATGAATTAACCAAATGTCCCCAACCTAAATCGCCTAAATCCGGCTATTTCTGGCAGGTCTTCACGAGGTCCAGGACGGTCCAGGTCATCCCAGCCTTGCCAGTAGACCTTGCTCCCTGCTCGGCTCATCAGCTCAGCTTCATGATCCTAAGCTGCTGCAGCATCTGATGCATCTGGCTATGGATCAACCTCTGTATCTATCAACAAACGTTTTCTTTTAAACAAATGAAATACAAATGACTAGAATAGTTGAGAGAATTACCCTCTGCTTTCCCGACATATCCGTGGAAAAGCGCAATGTTTAATCGGTTAATCGTCTACAAACAGTCATCAGTCCATGTTCATCCATATTCTATGGCTAGGTAAGAGTCCCGAAGGGGAGGAATTGGTGCGAAAGTCAAATCAATCCATCTTTAAATGACTTGTCGGTGTGAGAGCTTGATAAATCTCCATCCAGCCCCAGCTGAACAGCAGCATGGCATTGAAGATCGAACAATGGCAAACTCTCAAGAGCGCTGAATAGCATAATAATAACATACAATGCACTCATTCTGCGAGACCAAACAACTATGTTTGGTAATTATATGTAATTACAGTGTATTGTATCATATATATATATGTGTTGCTGGGAATCTATTCACTTCAGTTGCCCCCCAACAAAAACTGCAAGGAGGTCCCAACAGCCGCAGCAGATCCCTTTCACCGTGCTAACCCTTTCTGCCGAAGCTGCCGCTTGCAGGGCTTCCTCCGGAAGCCACACAGCCTCCTCCACTTCTGCGAAGGCCACGGCCACGTGGTGGTTCTCGGCACCGACGCAGACCACGCGGCCGAGGAGGGAGGCGCCGTCGTCTGGGTGCCACTGCACCAACCTGCCAGGGCGGTTCAGGAAGGGACAGTCGGAAGTGGAGAGATCCAATATTTTACCAGGATATCGTGGGCATTTTGCAGGGGATGGGAATTACGAACTGCGACTTGAGGGAATTGTGATAGATTCAATGGGAATTTCAGGATCCTAAACTGGAGGTACCTACCATATATAAGGCCTATGTAAGGCCTATGTAAGGGAATATCCCCACAAAATATGGCCTTATATGGTACAGTACCTCCATTTTAGGATCCTGAAATGGCCATTGATAGATATTTCTGGTTTGAGGTGGTGTGACAAGTATGAAGTGATAGTTTACTTTGGTGGAAAATGATGAAGTGTGATGGTAAAACTTCTAGTCTACCTGAGCATTGTCGTGGGTATGTTTTCCTTGCGACAAGTGGGATTCTTAAGTTACGTATGCATCTTCAGCACACTTTGACGAACTAAGGAAGGGCTGAAGACGGCTAAAGCAGAAAACATGTGGCAGCTTTGAACTTTCTTTCACTCTTCAATCGCCTCAAGACACATGTGCAGCTTTCACATACAATTTCAAATATTTCAGTCTATGTCATTCTCCTCTGCGACGGACAATAACGGATAACGACATGATCATGGATTGACCTTCAATAAGCAATAATAAGATATAAATAGATATATAAGAATAAGTCCTGCAATTCTAGCTGCAATTCGGAATTCAATTAGTTACTACTGTAATTAGTTCATTGAACATCTCCCAGTTTGTCTTTTACTTTGCACAGCTCAGCTGATCCCCACCTCCCTAGCCACAAAGTCTCCCGCAGAGTCTCCAGCAGCGGCTGCAGCTCTGAGGTGGCCGCTGTGGCCGCTGTGGCCTCTGGCGAAGGTTTGAGCTATGGGATAGACTGGATAGATAGATAAATAAATGTAAAATGTAAATGAATAGGTTAGATAGAATAAGGTTGGGATAGGTCAGTTTAGATGATATTACACTATTGCTACCTATACTATATATATATGCATATACACATGAATATATATATATATAGATTGATTAGAATATTCATTGATCAGTTCATTGATACATAGACAGAATGGGTCTACCCAGCACCCTCAGGTCAAAACTTGGCAGTGGAAAATCCCACTAAATGGAGGTTTTAATGCGAAAAAAAACTTATATAATATTAAAAAATATCAAATGATATTAAACAATATTAAGTAATATTATATAATATCATATAAGTGAGGGATTTTAGTTGCCGTATCGGATTTCCAGACGGTAACTGTTCCACTGAGACATGTGAGATCTCCTGCCGCGCATCTGCCAGTTGCGCTTCCAGCGTTCGCACCTCTGGCGGAGGTACGGTGGCGGAGTCAAGATATTCAAGGCGTGTTTCTTATAAACAAATATCCTACAATGTGGGGCCCCCAAGATAGCTAAGTTGGTTTATAACTACAATAACTAGGGTTTATAGTAGTTATAACCATAGTTAGATGGGGTTATAAACCAACTTATAACTAGGGGGCCCCACATTGTAGGGTAAACTAACGTGGAAAACACATGGTCTCTCTAATAAAATGATCTACAAATCTTGGATTTCCACATTTATATATGTAAAAAAAAACGCCTCAGGGTAACCTATATACCCTTTTGTGATCAAACATTGCATTTGAAAATCTGACAATGAGGTTTTAACGGGGATGTCAACTATTGATGGATGAATTTCCAGCAAGCCATGTTTGACTACCAAAGGGCATTGTGTATTTTTGAATATTATTATATATAAACAATGTATAAACAGCATGCAAATGGCGAACCAGGCGCTGTTAATCTGACCTGTTAATAGGAATATCATATGTTCATATATTTTTTCGGTACAGTAAATCATCTACAAATCATATCAAATAATTAGTAATCTTCCGTTGCCATCTTTGTTCAGCATAGTAAAATGGTTAAATGGTCGATTTTTCCATCACTGTAAGGGGTCCAGACTTTCAGGAGCCACCATGTCATGATGATCACTTGGCATTCTCCCAAGATTCAATGGATTGGTTTAAGGGAAAATCTACCGGAAACCATGGTTTTTACCATCAAATTGATCGGTCTTTCCGGTTAAAATTTTCCCATCATCCAATTCTATGAAAGATTGATGAAGATTGGCGGCCCTCATTCAGGATCATCTGATCATCTCATTTGGCCATGATTGGGCTGCCCCTTTTGGTTGTCGCAAGCTCCCGATTTTTTTTGAGGATATCCCATGTACGGCAAAGGCTGGCAAGATGATCAACATGCTTTGTTACCTCGGTGATTCTTGACACATCTACCCTCTGGTAACCTAACGTAGCTATTGAACATGGCCATTTATAGTGGATTTTCCCATGAAAAATGGTGATTTCCCATAGTTATGTAAAATTACCAGAGGGTACTTTTACTGGTGCACTGGTGAAGTTTTTTTGGAGTTGACATATGTTGACATACCAAATCTAGCCACGACTCTTGATCCTCCCTGCAACGGCTCGCCATGCCTGCTCTTCGAATTTCTTCAGCTCTAGGTGGACACTTGGTACAGCCTGGCATCTGGTTCTCTTCGAAGTCTGGAAGAATTTGATTTTTGCAACTTGCAACCCACACAAATAGTGAGGTAGTGTTGAAATGGGAACTGCCAGGAACCCACGATGTCCGCGCTTACGAACGTGCATAACCAACTTCTGGGAACTTAAAGAAATCTGGAACGACGGGCCTTTACAGGAGCCTGGAGCTCACGACTCAGGCGGCAAATGCGCTGTGCTGGATGGTCGTCCTGCAGCCATCTGCAGCCAATTGCCCAATCAAATCCCTTCACTCCCCCTTCTAAGAACCAACCCGCAAATCATGGATGAAATCATGGAACCCCAAAATACCCCAAATGCCTCCATTTACCACCATACTTTTTTCCAGGGATCAAGGATGATCAAGATTTCCGTGGGGATGCGAACCATTCTGTCAAGGGGTTTAGCCAGCCATCAACGCACCCAACGCGTCCTTGACAAACTCTGCCAAGTATTGCATGTTTTCTGGCAAAATGGCCCCACCTCCTTCCTAGCACAACAGATGCGGGGCACAACGGGAAATCGGATGGGGCACACAGCCCTCCACGCATGCAGGTACACAAGCGTGGCCGCGTGGCTATCAAAAATTCGCAATTTTGTTGAATTGGAACTGGCAATGTCTGCAATTCCCCAGTGCGGAGTGATATTTCTCAATATTTCTCAGAGGTTTCGTTCGGCTAAGCCCCTGCCAAATAGCCCAGCAATCGATGGACGGGTGGCCTCAGAAAGCCAGGTTTGGTAAGCTTCCTCCAAGGCATGGGTCATGGTGGGCGAAAAGCCCAGCCATTCGTCTGCCTCCTGGCCGCCATTGGATGATGGGGCCTCGGGACCTCGCAGTTCTCTAGGAAGTGAGGCAGAAAAGAACATGTGGCGAAGTAAATTGCAAACCAGTCCCCATGGCCCATATGGATCCATATGGCCCATTCTAACTATGCATGTACCATCATGTACCCCACTCTGCCAGTATTGGGATATACCATCTGGTTATTTAACATAGCCATGGAAAATGGCCTATAGATGATGTTCCCAGCTAGAAACCTCCATTTATGGTTGGGATTTTCCATGGCTATGTTAGTCATAACCAGATGGTATATCCCAAGGATTCCCAAAAAGGTGCTCTGGGCTCATCCGATTTCATGGGATCTCAGCCCCCGCGGCCCTCGCTTTGAAGATCCAAAACGCAGCGAGCTCTGTGTGAGAAGCGCCCATGGAATGCTGGTGGCAAAGGGGCTTGATCCAGCTGGGGAAACACACGGCCAATGACGGGGGAATAAGATGGAATAAGTATAAGCTGCAGTCAATTGGTAGGATTATTTGTTTATCATTTATCTATAATTATAATATATATATATTATATGCCAATCTGTGTATTTATTGTTTCGTATTCTTTTAATCTATTTTCATATGTCTGATGTGGAAGATATTATAACGACCATGGATCAAACTATTACGCAACAAACTATTGGATTTCAACAGTTTTATTAACCTTATATAGTCCTTTGTCATTTACATGTGGGGAGGTGGGTCGGAGATGAGCCTAGGTTGTTCCACGGTTCAAGTCTTGCATAGTACATCATATTACCTAGTTGGTTGGCCAACTTTTGCTCATCAAACAACTGACACAATCAACATCTTGTTGTTTGTGCCACTATAGTCACACATCAACATAGTACTGCATGCATCGTGCTGCACGTCTTTTTTTCCCCACCACGCAGGCGGAGTGCGTCTCCACTTTGCTAAACCTTCTGGCCGTTGCTCCGAACGCGTTCCTGACCAAAAAAGCCGAGATCTCATGGATATCATCCGTTGCCACAGCTTGGCTGGTTTTCCTTTCAGATCTTGGGTGCCTTGGATGCCTTAGGTGCCTTGGGTGCCCCCAACTTCCAGTGTTCATGGTGCCCCCTGCGGTTGCCACCTCTGCATGGTGAAAGAGGCAGCCAGGACGACTGCAGCCGACACCTGACATCTGAGGTTGAGACTGGTCCCGGAGCTTGAGACTAGTCATGTGGTAAAACCAATGGTAAACCAATGGTAAACCAATGGTAAACCATAGCCATCCTCCCATCTACCAAAAAACTTGTCATGTTCGGGTCTAAGAGCCCATTGCCGCCCAAGAGTTGGTTTATCATTGGACCAAGCCGGGTGGCAACCCTTGATCCACGCCAAGTTGGAGAAGAACCACAAATATTCACAATGTTTACCCTCTGGTAAACTAACATATGGAAAATCACAACTTTTAATGGGAAAACTCACTATATAAATTGCCATTTTCAATAGCTATGTTAAATTACCAGAGGGTAAGGTGGCTGGCCAAACCTTTCCTGTAGGGTCCACAAGAATAAACCTCTGCAACGTGTATTTATTGACCATGTTTGACCATGAAAAAGATGGATATGGACTAAATCATACTAAATCACCCCAAGAATCGGGGCACACACACAATTTCATAAAGCGCTACTAAGCCGCTACTATTGGGGATGGTGACCATTTTTGTGGATCCCCCATTTCTGTCTTTTAACCTCTCTTCCGCTTCAGTTCAGGTGACCATAGAACGACCATATTTTGAACATCTATGAACCCATGAATACTTATTTAACATACTCAGCTACCCATGGCGGGTGCTCCATCGCCAAATCAGATTTGCAAAGGCTAAGGGTAAATCTTGGAACTGGGTAACTGTGGCAAAGTGCTGAGCTCACCCACAACCCAAAGGGTTCCACCTGTTCGGCAGGGAGTTTTGGCCCACTTCTCTCGCAGGCTTTTGGCTTCCGCATCTGAAGGATGTCGAAGTGGACAATGCTTTCGGAAGCAATGCTCCTAGATACCATCCGAGGCTGGAACGCAAAAAAACCTGTGATGTTCACCAGCCACAAACATTGCTGACCCTGGACAATGCCGGACAAAAATGCTGCGCAGCATAGCCTCAGGAAAAATGTGAGGTGACTCTCTCTCTCTCTCTCTCTCCACGAAGAAGAAGACTTGGTGGAGTTGCGGACTTTTTAGCTGAGGTGCGAGGCAGAACAAGGTGCAAATAGCCGCTGTCCTGGCTGTCGTCAAATGGCCATGACAACCAAACAATAGCGGGATTTCACCGAACATGGCGATTCGACTGGGAGCTAATCATTCCAAGCCGTCCTTGCCACATCCCCAACATTGTTGCGGCCAGGAAACTCAAAAGCCTCCCAGGAAAGGATGGCATTCCATAGAGTTCAGATGAAAATTCTGCCCTCTGGGGCCCTCTGGTTGTTTAACGTGTGGAAAATCACCATGACTAATAGGTCAATGGACTCGATGGACCATTTCTACAGCTGGTGCTAACCTGGCCTTGCGCGACTTGGGGCGTCCTGGCCAGCTGAGAAATCAGTTGAACAGCCAGCCATCCCAAAAATGGTGCTGGAATAATCATGAAACAATGTGGTTACGATATGACCACCTCACCGTTTTAGGGGGGGACGTGCCCAAAATGTAAGCTATATACATGTTTCAAGGCATTTTTTTTTTAAACTTAAATTTTGGTATGGTCCCCCCTGAAAAGTAGCCTTAAAGGGGTGGTGATGTTACGATGGTTATATACTTGTACCTTCTGGAACAGTCTGAAATATCTGACACATATCTGAAACAACATGAAAACAACCACCTGGAAGTGAAATTGCGTTGACCTTGGCCTGGAAGATGATGTTCCTAGTCTAAAAGTTGAGACTTCCACTTTCTGGTTTCATTAAGGTGGTGGAACAGGAAAACTCAGACTCACTGGTTCAAGCATCCCATGTCAAATGAAATTTCCTGCTATTCATGGCTAATCTTCAAAAACACTCTAGGCCCCATCTGTCACTTTTTGCCACTGCATTCATGGTTGCGACGACATGCAGCATGAGCCAGGGGGCGACAGTCAAGTCCATTTCCTTGGCCGGGAAGTGTCATGCACCACCAGCCAGCTTGGGAGCTCTATTGTCTTGCCAATCAATCATGTGCCAGGTAAGTATCAAGCTATATCAAGCGCTATATAGTAAGACCTATGCGTTTGTTTCGTTCGAAGGATTTTTGGGCACTAGAAATGTGTTGAGTTAGGATTATTATAAATGATCGAAACATGGCATTCCATGTTCTGAAATCAAAGCCGCTTAAATTTGATGATGGTTTGGGATCCGGGGGCTTATCCCAACACACGGTGCCTGGACCACGGTGCTCCCTTTGGCGGCGATCCGAGCTCCAAGCGTCGCTCACGCGTGCAGCCGCTGGTCCAAGGCGCGAACGCGTTGCTCCAAACGATCCACGGCTGCGATGAATTCGGCGCTGGTGGTGCCCAGATCCAACAGCTCCACAGGGACCCGGTCCACCGGGTCTACTGGGCGGGCACTGGACACATCACCTGACTATAGCTGGGTCATCCAAGTGGGGCTAGACATAGCTAGACCCCAAAAAAACAACGCGTTTGGGTTTTTTTGCGTTTCTCAGGTGCAATTTCCTCCCCATTCCTGGTTTTTACCTGGTAAGATCTGGTAAAATCTGGTAAGATCTGGTAAGTCTTGATTAAAATGAGGTACCCTCCGGTAATCAAAGATGGTTTGCTCGAAAATCACCCCTTCAAACCTCCATTGAGTTCGGCGATTTTAGGATTTCCTAGCCATGTTTGATACGAGTACAAGGGTGAATATGGACTACAAGCCCCGGTGTTGATTCCTAAAAGAACTGCATTGAGTCCCACTCTATATATATATAAATAATTAAATATATATATATATACACATGTACACCGTTAAAGTACATGAAACCATTATTAAACCCCATCAACTCCCCTTAAAACCCATGGTTCATGGCATTTTACCACAGCTGGATGATCAAAAAAAAGAACCTGGCCTCGTTGGAGTTGCACTTTCGTCTGGACCAGCTCCACCTCGGGGGTGAAGTACATCCCAAGGACGTGACACTGGACATGACTAATACATATTCATACATGCATAATATCTCATGATATATCAGAACATATCATAATGTAGTACTGTATATCAAACTGAACATGCCATAATATATATATATATATACATATATCATGATATATGAGTATGTCATTGTCTGTCTGGAAATCAGCTCCCTCCAAGTTCGATGCGATATCATTGACTTTTAATTTTGTTGTTGGGGGGGCCTCCCAGTTTCAGACATACTTATATCATCTAATATCAATTCCAGGTATTTCCAGGTCCATATCTGCCATTTTTCTGCCAGGGCCTGCCAGGGCCATAGCCATAACACTTAAATATTTTTGTGGCAAAACTCTCCATGATCTCGGCAGCCCCGGGCCTTCAGCGTTTCTGCTTCACTGCAGGACCCAGGCGCTTCATCCACTTCGACTTGGGCACATTGCACCACCAAAGCTGTAGCCAAGCAAACAAGAGATGAACGAATGGCTCGCATATGCCCGCATGAAAGATGGGATGAGATGGGTTTCCTCCCAAGTATCAATCTTGAGCCATAAAAACATGGTTTAAGAAAAAACGAACATCTGGAAGCAAATGGCATCACATCAAGTCTGCGAAGAAGAACAGGAACATTAAGATCAGTTGAGATGTGCCAGGAAAATGCACAAGTTGTTGCCTGAGTCTACCTGGATTTGTTCCAACGTTGGAAACCCCAAAGTTCCCCGTGTCACTGATATGGTACTATCGTGTGCTATCCGCCACTCTTGGACGCCCACAACCATGGACTTAGAGTTGCTCATCAGTTTTCTCGGACATCAACCCATACTATCGCCAATCTCAGGTACCCTGCACCCCCAGTACATTATATCAACCATAATTATGTCTCCCCAGTATGGCACCACTGAGTCCTTCTCTGCAAGGCAGGTGTTGGAGGTCGGAAGCTGGCCTTGCTGCAGCCAAGTGCAACCATCTATATATTCTACATGTACATGTTGTCGTCTGCCCAACTTATGTGAGGTAAACATATGTACACACTGCAATGTGTATATATATATATTGTAAATAATAACAATACCAAAACATTTAATGAACCCACCATCATACAAAATATAATCATCATAATCATATATAATATGTGTAACGTCATACAATCATAATACTAGTAGTAACATGTAGTAACAATCATACCGTTCAACGACGACGTCTCTTGGCGCCTCTTCCTCACCTTGTGGCTGATCTCCTGGGCATCAGCAAAGTCGGCATCTCCTTCAGCAGAATGGACTTCGTTTACTGTTACCATGTTTGAGAAACCATATAAGCCACATATTAAGCAACATATAAGCCACATATAATCCATAATATATATATATGTGTGTATACATGATATATGTATTTATATGTATTTATATAGCAGGTGCAAATGGATATAGGATATATATATAATTTACAATTGGTCACTGCATGCGATCACCATCAATGGGCTCCAAAAATTCATCGAGCCAGGGCTTCTGGGCAGTTACATAATGGGTGTGGGGTAACAAAATGTCTTGGGTTTGGTGATAACAATCAACAGTATCCGTAGTTTGCATGTGACTCAAAACGCAGAGCTCCTCCATCACTGGCATGGTTCCTGACGAGCAAATCATCCAGTTCAGGATGCATGAAACGGTCCTGCCAAACCCAGTCGCTGCTTGTTTTGAGGTTTTGTCTACTCAAAATTCTGTATATTCAAAATTTGCCATTACAATTACCTATAGGATCCATGGTGCTGGTATATATATGCTAACATTTGGGGTATATTGATGGTAAATGTTACAATAATGTTACCATATATAGCAGCACCACGGATCCTATATGATCCTATGGGTTACAAAGTGACAAGTTTCACATGTTTCTTTACGGCGTTCCCAACAACCAACGCAGAAATCTGGGCGGGACCTGCCATACCCTGCCTGGAGAGCAAAGTGCCAGGATCAATGCTCCTCGGGGAAAACGCGGCAGTGGGAACATCTCCTCTTTCTAATTGATTGTAACTGATTGTAATTGATTGTACCCTCTGGTGAACTAACATAGCAATGGAAAATCTCCATTTTTAATGGGAAAATCCACTGTAAATGGCCATTTTCAATTGCTATGTTAGTTCACCAGAGGGTAATTGTAGTAACATGTAGTAACCCCCCAAAAAATGCAGTTAAAAGTCACTATCATGTCTAAGCATCAAATGTCACTATCTTTTAGTGAACTTACTGATACTCAACATCTCTATTTTTCTAACAGGATCTGACTCTTAAATCTACAGCCTGTCCACATCCGGGCGTCCCCGACTGATCTCTTAAGGCTGCCTTGGCCGGAACGCCATTGGATCATGGCACAGATATGCCTAAAAACTCCACAAAGAGCACAGCACCTGAAAAATTGTACCAGTTTTAACCATAGTTTTGACCATAGTTTTAACCATAGTTTTAACCATCAAATACATTTAAATATGTTAAATACAGTACTGGGGGTTCCTGGAAATATCTGGAAATCTTGCCTTTCACGAATGCTGAGAATATATGAGAATAATGTAAGGTCTCAATTCAACCATCGCCTCCATCGCCTCCATCAAGGTCACTCTCAAACATATTTTGAAACCAGATCAGTCAGGTCCAATCCTAAGATGAGTTCAAGATCGAATATCTAACCACAGTTGAAGAAACTGAACGAGACAAAACCAGCGTGCGCTTGCCTTGACTTCACGGAGTTGTCTTCGGAGGCTTCCGACCTGAACTGAAATTCATTGAAATTGGAATTGTGTTTACCAACTGAGACTGAAAATATGAAAACCTGAAATTGGTTGTCCTCTGTTCTTTTGGACTTTTTCCATGAAACCGCATAGGTTGATAGTCCTTCATCAATGACCCTCAAACATGTTATTTGCAGTGGACCTGTTTGGTATAGAAACCCTTTGGCTCCCCATTTAATGGGGAATAATATGGCAAATTATGGGAATATAGATACCCATTAGATACCCATAGTGACCCATAGCTCCCTCCATTCACCACTTGTGCCACCCAGGGATCCCAGGGCGGCCCTGGCACAGTTTGTCAGCTTCACATTTTCTTCCCCCTGCAGAGTGATCTCCTGCTCCTCCCAGGCATTTCCAGCAGCCATGGAGAAAGTCATAGAAAATAATGGAAAGTTATGGTATCGAATAATGATTCTGGATTTCGAAACTTATGCCATAGAAAATGAGAGCAAATAACAAATTCATGATTTTCCTCCCTCTCAGGGGTCCACTAACTCCCATGAACCTATGCACCATCTTTCTTGCGGCTTTCCCGGACCCTTCCAAACCCAGCCCCGCTGCCCAGCTGGGGTCCTGTGCTTTGAGAGTTTTTGCAGCAGCTTGTTTCTCTTGACGATTTTTCTCCACCTAAGCCACGCTTCGCCTTTTTTCCCGTAGGGCCAGGATTGAGGGCATTTGGAAAGGGTCCAGCATCTACAAAGGAATGCGGTCCCAGACTGTACGAGCTTGTTGAAGTAGCTTGTTGAAGTTGTTAGAGCAATTACCAAAAGCATACATACTGCTTTGCGGATGAAAGCGGCCTTGCTTAGATTGACATCATGGGTCCCGGAGGGAGAAACGTCATCGTCAGCTCACCACCGCCAAAATCACCAGTGCCATCAACTTCCAGTTCCAAATCCTTTGCCCAAAGCCGTCGTTTTGCATGTTGTTCCGCAGCTTGATGTTGAAGGCAACACACTGAGCATCCAAGAATAGAGGGGCCCCCGTGTTGATTGTTTTCAATCTGAACTGTTCTTGTTGGTTAACAATCTTTCCATGGTAGGAGAGTAAAATCCCATTCTTGGCTGGTTAAAGCAGGCCTTTTAACTTCTGTCCCCATGGCGACCCATCACCAGCATCATGAATCACCAGGGATCGCTAGCGATCACCTCTTCCCATCTCTCATAAATTCATATGACAAATTGCCATCACAACATCATCACCATCACAGTTATTAACAGTTCTTTACCATTCACCTGGGTAAATTATAATAATTCACTAACCTGAAATGTTTGGCCTCACAGCTGAAATAAGGCAATTTTGAAATGATTCCTCTTATTAACCATGATTCCAGCGTTCGGTCGCAGTGAGATCGTTGTAATTTACCCAGATTCATGATGCCATATGATGCCACACTGCAAATTCCGCAGGATTTTTTCACCAGCCACCAGTGGCACCAGTCGTTAGATCTCCAGCGCCTCATCTTGCAGTGCCTTCACTTCAGCCAAGGTGGACGACCTCATTGAGCTCCCAGGGGGTCCCTGTTCGTGGCTGTCAGGGATGGTCGAAAAAATGATGCTTGGATAATCAATGTTTATATGGTGAAAAAATGTGACAAAATCCGGAGAAGAGTTTTTAAGAGAAGGTGATTACAAGATCAGACCTTTTTTAGTCATCCACCATGTCATACCATGTCCATGTCATCCCTGGTTTGAATGAAACATGCTTTCTTCTTGAGGCCTCATTTCGAGAAAATCTTCTGCAGTCAAGTTGCACCTTTGAGTTCTGTGATTCTTCAATCCCCACCGCTACCTCGGTCACCGCACATGACCTTTGCATTACTGTAATGCCCGAACCAAAGGTGGAAAACTCTCCATTGGGATCTATTGTTCGGAAAAAACATATTGTTGCAGCAACCCCAAAACTTTGAACTTGGAGAGTATCTGGAAGATACATCTGAGTTACAAACAACTCTCCCACCAACTCCAGAGAAGTTGGATCAAACGTGGCGATGGGAAATCCCATCGCAAACGGAGGTTTTAACCGGCATTTGTTCCTCCATAAATGGGGAATTCTCATGAATTAACGATATGTTAAACAATATGTTAAACAATATGTAATATACAATATATATATATAATATTATATATATATGATAGAATAAATATAACTACAACTGTTAAAAACTACAACTCTGCTGACTCTGCCCCCGCCTTCGCAATTCGGATATCAGAGGATCAACTTTTTGAGCCTGACCGAGGTCCCAACGGACTTCGCTTGGTGAACTGCCTGAGGATCATCGGATCAACCCAGTGGAAGTTACCACTTTAAGTGGCGATTCCAGGCTGCTGAACAACATAAAAAATGAGTATTTCTATTGGATGAAGATCTTCAATTGGATGAAGATGATGAAGATGTGAAATATTGTGAAATTCCATGGCCCAAGGGGCCCAAGGCAAGTACTTCCGGCACGTTCGATGATATATAGTCGTTCTATCTTTTCAGGGAACCTGTCGGATGCAAAAGAAAAACACACACATATATATATAATATTATATAGACTATTTCATAATCTCATATTATACAGTTATATAAATATATATAAATATAATATTATGTGTATGTATCTTGATAAAAGAGGAAAAGGGTGATTGTGTGTGTGCATGCTCCTGTGCATATATGAGTACACATATGGACTACAGTACACATGTACGTACGTATACGTACGTACATATCCACAGAACTATGTCCCAACATGTTCCATGTATCGCATAGGTGCCTACAGTTGGTCCATTCTGGGTGTCAATGGATAAACTTGATTGATTGGTAATTCCAATTTGTAATTAGCAATATCGTATACCACACATAGAGCATTCTGTGTACAATTGGGTCTATCCATGTTTATCCAAAACTGTCGCATGACCAAAAAATAGCAATTCAATGGAACAAATTGCAGGGTTTTCTCTCTCTCTCTCTCTCTTTCCATTGCCATCTCCACAAGTTCAAAGAAAGCCGAGACGTAGACCAACTATATACATGCCAAAGGCCGGTGCACGTCAATGGGGGGGCATCCATGGGTATCCTACTTTCAAACGGGCCCATTTTCCCCAATATTTTTGGCTATAGCTATCATATTATGCCCAATAACTATATATATATCCCATAGTATCCCCAAATGACCCAAATCATACACACATTGTCAAATATTACCACATGTTCCCCTTTTCCCCACCCGGGGTTTCGCCCATCCAAGCCTCCGTCAAGGCGTCAAAGACAGCATCCATCGGCTTCCGAAGCGGTCAAGAAAAATGATACTAATCCCTTCCATGCCCTTCCCTGTTCATATTAAACACCCCCAGAAGCCATGGTTTAGAAACGGGGGCCATTCATGGGGTGTTTAATGCTAGGGGATGGCATGACCAATTGATTCTTCAGCATGCTCCCCATTTAATTAGTAGGGACATGAATTCTCCCTGGCCCCTTTGCTCCCTCAAGATCCAGGAAAAAGAAAAGGGATGGTCAATCATGATTTTGATGATATTCCTAAGAACAACTGAGATTGACATCCTTGGTTCTGTTCTTGTTGAAATCTGATCAAACATGGAAGTGGTAAACTACCGCGACGTTCAACACCAGCGTCTCGGTTGTCTTGCCAAACTGAAGGGATGTATGGAGTGCAATTAATTTTGCGGATGTTTTCAGCACGCCATTCTCATGTCATGTTGCCTTGCATTTAATTATATATATATATATATTTGACTCGATGCTTGACCCCAAATCCATCCCGGAAGAAAGAACACGCAAATCTGGAGAATCTACGCCTGAAACTCCATTTGATGCACTCATGGAACTGGATACCCAATGTTCCACAGCAGATCATCTTCCTTTTCCATGCTTGTTTCAGGTAGGTGAACCAACCAGAGCAGCAGTTTCTTTTGCTTTGCTCCAGTGGAGCTGGAATTGGTGGTTCTTAAAGTTTAGTGTGGCATCAGCATCATCAATAACAGCAACAACAACAACAACCACAACAACCACAACAACAACAACAACAACAACAACAACAACAACAACATGAACAACAACAACAACAACATCAACATCAACATCAACATCGAACATCATCAAGCATCGTCAAGAATCTTCAAACATCGTCATCAATCATAAGAACAACAATCATAATATCATAATCAGAATCATCATGAACAATCGCATCTCGTGTTGTTTTCTGTGAGTCGAGGCGAACTTATGTCGCATTTCCAGCGGATGAACCTGGTCACCGTGCCTTTTATGGTCACCGTGCCAGGTCTCTCTGGACTTTACAGGTGAGGCATGGCAACTCTGAACAAAAAATCTGATTTCCTGGGCAATTCCCAAACCGGAAAATATGATGAATGACTGGATAGGCAAATGTTATTTTATGATCCTGGCCTACGAACAGATGATCATAACTATCGCTTCCGGGGCTGGTGGTCGGCGGCATGGGTGCTGAAACATCTGTGAGTATGCAGCGAAAACTATGACCCACTGAGGATAATATGCTATCTTCAACAACTATATGCTCAGGTGATGCTGGGCATCCAGAACTGGTTCTGGGACATCGAACAATCCCCCTCTTCACATGGCAAGGGAAACCCATGTAATAATAAGCTCGAGATTGCCGCGTGCAGCTCCAGACTTGGGCAGAGAGATCATGCAAAATCTGAAAAGATTCATCCTTTGACTGCAGTACGGTGCCGCTGCTGTTCAAATTGTTTTTCATTAAGATTTACTGTACTTGTTTATCCTTTTAGGGATCACAATTATCACATACACTGACCGCAAAAAAGAATCAGAAAAATGATCTATTAAGATTTTGCTCTTCTACCTTGGCGGTTGCTATAAAGCCAGGTTTGGAGCTGAGTATCTCGGCGAACGACTAGCACAGGATTTGGAACGTGATCCCGCATGCAGGTATGGGTCTAAACATGTCAAGACCAAGTTAAACCTGGTTTAGACCACTTCAATAGAACATAACCATTTCGGCATGGCCTTTTTCAATGGAAATGCTATAAGCCACCAGGGGTATTGGGCAATTCATGCGAATTATGAACGCCAAACTATCGCCCCACGGCCTTACTTTTTGCCAGGGCCTCAAATGGTCTGCCTTACAACTACCGCAGTAATGTTGTTTTATGTTTGGCTATGGTAAAAAAATGATTGAAGCATTGCTGAAGCATATGGAACATACACACTTCATCAAAATCTTCATCAACATGGAATGCTTCAACATGGACCCATCCGCATGGATCTGAATCCTGCGGTATCCTCCGGTCCTCCGGGCCGCCTGGGGTCACATGGCCACGGCGGTGCCCGGCGGTACCCCGTGGCCAACCACGAGGAACTAAACGAACGTTGAAATCAAAAATCAATGCTTGTTCTGTGCTAATGGATCATGATATGTCATGATATGTCATGATATGTCATGATATGTCATGATATGTCATGATATGTCATGATTGCCTGGTGTCATTTGAAATGTGGTCACCTTTATTGGTTTCTCTATGCTTTGTTCATGCAGAACGGTGGCACAAAATAAAATGGTGAGTGAACCTGCCGGCTCATCCTTCAATAGTAGTCTCTTCCGTCTCTTCCTCATTCCGGGAAAAACCACAGCCATCAAAGCCCTCTTCGCTTTCAAATTGCTCCTGCGCTGAACAAATCTGATTCTTCGCGCAAAATCAAAGTGTTTGGATAAGTCTAATCGAGCCAAACCTGACGAAGTGAGGCTGGAATTGACATAATGTGGCCAAGAAACACGACTTTCAAGATTTGAAACCATCCCTCTTATCACACCTCCCTATGCCTTGAATATCCTTGAACAAAATCAACTTCAGCGGATGAGCAAGAGGGGTCGGTAGTTCCAACTCCCCTCTCTTTACCAATGAGGACCTTTCTAAGCACGAGGCATGCAAGGATGGATTGTAAGATATATGGTGGAATATAGTGGAAACTGGGAAACTGCCACTCAAAAGGGGCATAAATGATAACGGTAGTTATAAATCGAAACGACACACCAACTTTAGCCAGCTGTTACTGTTCCTTCCATTCTATATCATGGTTCCGGGAAAAGCAGAACAAACAAACGTGGGCCGACCAAACCCACACCGCCAGGGAACCCCAAACGATGACTTCTGAAAAAAATGGTAAACCTAGTGGCCGTCCTGCCTGGTTGGCTGGCCCAACCAAAAAACAAATTGGAGAGGGACTGAGCTGTTTGATGAACCCACACCCAGTTCTATATATCAAACCAAATGCGGCAAAAACAATTTACCGTTTTGGCATGTCTTTCTGAAACTTCAAAAACGGGATTCATTCCTAGGTGTGCAGGCATACATTGCAAGTTAACAATATATATATGTATATAATGTAGCATATGCACCTGCATGCACATCATGCAGGCTACTAAAAGTGCACATATATATATATAATATATATATATAATAATAATATGCATGCATGTGTTCTTTGTCACACATGTACTAGATAATTATGCATATAAATATGCCAAGAAATATATATATATAAGATTATAATATTATGTATTTGTTTATTTTTTACTATACCATATGAAACATAATGTGCCTATATTATTCTATATTACATATATATATATTATATATATATATACGTGTATATATATAATCATATATATATGTGTGTGTGCAATCATATCAGCATCAGCCATGAAACCGGCGCCGCTCCATTCGCTCTGTGCCTTGATGTCCCGTGCCGTGAGGTCCACCACCAGCACCGTGATGTCGTCCGCCGCTTGCTGCCCTGTCTCTTGCAACCAGCGGTCGTACGCCTCCTGGCCAGGCGGCACCTGGGGGATTCCAACCCGAAAGTCATGACGAAAACCGTGGGAAATGATGTCTCTTTTCGGGGCTACCCTCTGGTAAACTAACATAACTATGGAAAATCACCTTTTTTCATGGGAAATTCCACTATAAATGGCAATTTTCGATAGCTATGTTAAATTACCAGAGGGTACATGGTTCCTTGCATAACGATTATACATATCCTATTGGAAACAAATGAATTTCGTATATGAAATATATTATATGCAAATATACAACATGATAAAAAGTATATACAATATTCTTTGTGTAATACTATGACTCAGCGGTGTAGCCACATATCTACCTATGGACAACGTATAGCCTGGGAATAGCACCTCCATTACACGTTTAACAACAAGCATACGTATATATATATATATACATATGGTCCAGTAAACAATTAAGGAATATAACAGCTGATATTTGAAAAATTGGAATATGGCCTTAATAAGTGGAGGATGCTACCCAATATGCAGCTTCTCAGATTTGAGAACTCCAAGAATATGTCATTTGATGGTAGTTTCGGTCGTGGTAACTTTTTGGCATCAGTTTACCCACTAAAATGGCAGTTTTGAGGTACCATGTGATAATCAATTCGTGTGCTATGAAGCTATGCATGGTCATTGACAATTATCACCCATTCTTATCCATGATTGTCCATTACCCATTATCATCCACTATTATCTATTATTATCTATTATTATCCATTATTATCCATTATTATACAGTATTGTCCATTCTTAGCCATTATTATCACTTTATTATCCATTATTTTCAATTATTGCCAATTCATTACCCATTATTATCAATGAGATCAATTGTTACCCATTATTATCAGTTATCCAGTGTTATCCATTATTATCCGTGATTATCCATTATTATCCATGAGTATCAATTTATTATCCATTATTATCAATTATTATCCATGGTTATCCATTATTACCAGTTATCCAGTGTTATCCACTATTATCCATTATTATCCATTACAATCATTATCCATTATTGTTATTATGACCACCTGTAGAACAGAGAAAGCTGGTTTTAGCAAAAAAAAACAATCAAAAGCCGAATCACCAAAAAAACAACTCAACAGGAAGAGCTACCAGAAAAACCAAAAAAAAGAACAAGAAAAAAAACTAAACCTGCATTTTCCTCTGATTGTTGTTTGTTTTTTCTTGTTTCTCTTGTTGGCGTGTTGTTTTTTTTTGTTTTTTCTTGTTTTTTCCTTGGTTTTGGTTTTCAAATTTGTTTTTTTTGTTCGCTCTGGTTTTGCTTTTGTTTTTATTTTTTTTGTCAAACCCTATATTCTCTGGGTTGCTGGACTCATAACATTATTATCCATTATCAATGATTATCCATGATGATTGTCCATGATGATTACCCAATTTATTATACATTATTATCCATTATTGTCCAATATTATCAATTATTATCCATTATTGTTAGGGTCCACCCGATTGGTCACCCCAGCTCCTTCGCCACACGTTCTGCGGCTACTGCAGGTTGTGCCGCCCCACAAGCAGCAAGGATGTCCAGCACTTCCTCGCAACAACGTTGAATATGAAAGCTCCATCGACCTTTAACATACATCAAAAATATGTCTTTATATTTGTGATTAATATATATATATAGATAAATACATACACATAATACACAAATAATCATATATATATATACTGTATATATGATACAGTATGTGTGTGCAAATATGTGTCATACCATATTTGCATTATATGTATATATGTTAATACTATTACCATTACTATTGCTATTTCATCGATTTTCTATTACAAATACATTATTAATGTTGCTGTTTGTATCATGATTATTATCATTGTTGCTATTATTGTCATTCTATATGTGAAACACAACCTAATCATACTACTGTATATCTATCTTATTCTACCTTACGTATGCACATGTATATATTATATGCACAATGGCTGAATTGCCAGCCGTGCGCCGGCTGCTGAATTCAAGGTTATTGATCAAAAACGGGTACTCTCAAATCATTGGATCATTAATACTAAAGATAGACTAAAAATGACTCAAATCTGTGGTTCCCCAAGTCTTTAACTTTGACCCCATACAACAATACCCAGATATGAATAAGGTCAACTGTCACAATGTCATAATCAAGTATAATCAATCATATCAGATGGCTTTGAAAATGTTCAGCCCGGCTTTGCATTTGACCCGAAGAGCAAATTCCTTCACCGTCCTGTCCTGTGGCTTCATCCAGGTCCACACCCCATCACTGGCGACAATTAAAACCTGGCAGCGCTGGCAGACCCGACTGGATGACCCATGCGATGCGCCCGGCCCGGCCGCCCGGCCTTGTCTTCAAAAAGCAGTTCCACTTCTTTCCTCAAGCCAAACGCTACGAGGGTGAAGGAACAATCTCCAAAAAAAAAGTAGTAGAAGTCTTGTTGTAATATCTTTGTTCTTTCAATTTTTCACAGAACATGACTGACCTATTGTTATTTATTGAATCTATTGTTACCTATTGTTACCCATTGTTGACATTTGCTGTTGCAATTTGATACCTCAAATTGCCGTTGTTATGCAATAACAATTTGCAATTTGCTTACCCTCTGGTAATTTAACATAGCTATGGAAAATGACCATTTATAGTGGATTTTCCCATTAAACATGGTGATTTTCCATGGCTATGTTAGTTTACCAGAGGGTATCCCTTGCCGTTGTTGGCCCAGCTGCACTTCGGGAAAGCTGGCGATGCCACATTCGAGGTGGGCATCCAAATCCCCCAAGCTTCGTGTCACATTCAGACCTCCAGGGGCTCGTGTCGATTGGCGATGGCCAAATGATATGGTTGATTTCATGGGTTCAACACGTTGGCTGGGTCCCCAGCATATGTCCAGCACAAGAAACATCTCGCCGTTGGAATAATGTAGGGCTCAAATGGGCCCGCGGGTGAAAGGGCCCTTAACCGTCAATTGATGAACATCATCGGGCTACGAAATGCAGGAGCATTGGAAAAACATCACGACGACACATGTGTCAAAATATAATATTTGATACTATTTATATTATGAATTATTATCTACTATATTAGACTAGAATGATGAATCATGTTGATCCGCTCTTTGTTTTTGGATGTTTTTTGTGGCACCTGCGCCCGTCCCATGCTTGTTGAAAGCTCGATAGGCGCCGGCTTCCCACTCCACCCGCGCACCAGTTGCCTGCGCGCATCTGGCGCTTCAGCAGGGTTGGAGTATCTTAAGCTGGCGAAACATCGTGGATAGAACACAGCTACACATGGGATAGCCATGGAATAACCTAACTATTAGGGGACTTATTCGCCCAGCTGCTACGATTATAGTTATAGTATTATAGTATGTTACAGTTAACGGTAACTGACCAGTCACTGACTCCCACCTCAATGCGTTTCCGCTCATCTTCCATTTCCAGGTGGTGCTCCTACGAGGCACAAGACTTGAGATCATCGCAAACTCTTGTGGCTGAACTGAACTGTGGCCGGTGAATCCCAAAAGTATTGATCTACACTCTTTAATTTAAAAGTATCAAATATATCCCTATTGACTTTGGGGGGGGTCACTCAAGTGACCCCATTTTCTAGACAGAAAATCTCTGACCCAGTCAAAAGCCTAGAAAATGAAAAAACCAAGTAAAATTGGACGTTTTTTTTGATTGGGCAATTCATTTTCTAGAGGGATGTATGGATGTTTTGGACATGTATGTTTTTAAACAAACAGGTGCATGAGAGTACAATTCACCACTTTGGGTCTAGAAAATGACCTGTAATGCCATCATAAGAACAATAAAAAATGTTCCCTAAAAAAATGGTTTCAAAAATGGAGGACCAGAAATGAACAATGTTTTCTCTAGAAAATGAATTGTGCAATCCTTACTAAGACAGGTAATCCTTACTAAGATCAAGGTCTCTGTTTGGTTCGTGCCTCACTGAAAAGACATCTTTTCTTGGCACTTCAAAATTTTGGCACACTTGACTCGAATCCTGAAGTTCTGTCTTCACACTTTTGGAATAGAACATTGAAACGCATCTTGTCACATTTCAGCAAAATCTAGATGAATTTGGATCTATTTTGTGATGCTTTTGGGCACCCCAAAAGAGGTCTAGAAAATGCATTGCACAATCAATTTGTCTCTTGATATCAATCTAGCAGCTGTCTAGAAAATGACTTGATATGGAAGGATGAACTTGGCCCTGGGCATGGGGCTTTTTAAGCATTCCCCAGGAATGACCCAGGAAGCATTCGGACAAGAGTTCGATTGATTTTTTTTTCCAGCCCTTATCTATCCTTATCTCTCTAGAAAATGGTCAGATACATTTACATATAAAATCATGAAGGACCTTTCCGACTTTCCCCGGGAAATGTAGGGAAAATGACTGTTCAAGCATTTTCTGTCTAAAAAATGGGGTCACTTGAGTGACCCCCTACAAGGTTGGAAATTTCAATGGGGATTCAAATATTAAAGTATATTAAAGTCACATTGTTCTAGGCTCAATCCAAGGTTCAATGAATATCACATATTTTTCTTTTTGGTGGTTAGCTGATGTCTACTGGAATCTTCCGCCTATATATAAATTGCCCTTTCAAAATGATATAAAGATCCAATCGTAAACCAGGGCTCTGATTTTCACCTCCTGTTTTCTACATTTGCCGATCGTAAATCATTTGCCTTCCAAAAAACGGGCTCCAAATGGCTCCAGTCTCTCTGTTTCGCAAGCCCTAGGACTCCCTCCCCAGTCCCCTGCCGCGCCCGCGTCAGCTGTACGGGAATCAGCTGATCATTGGCCCCGAGGCGGCCCAAAATCGCCGTGCTGTCGCCCACATGGCCCACCTGCACAGCGCTGGAACCGACCCTTGCTGGCAGGATTAAGCCCAACAAATGGCTGTTTTCATGGGGAAATATGTAAAATATGGGAAAATATCATGATAATCCAATGATAATCCAATGATAATCCAATGGATTTAGGGGTACACGATTTTCAAAGCCATAATGTGGAGCTCGCATGACTTGACATGATTTAAATTGTTTTAACATGCACGCGTGGGGTTTGTCCGAACGTTGTGGCGGGCATTGGATTTCGTGGATTGGTGCTCCAAGGAATACCTGTAGGAAACATGAGGAAACTTTGGTTTTTACATGTTTATACCCAAATAGAGGTAAACACTGTAACTATTATATTAAAAAGATTTAAAAAGAATAATATGTGCCTCTAACCAATTCTGGGAGGGATGGCTACAGAACAGCAAAACAAAACAGCCACTTTTCTCAATATTTTGTGGTGAAACATCCTGTTTGAGTTATATCGGTATAGCAAGAAATTGGAGTCGCAGGCACACAGTTTATCATTGAATTGTGCAGTCCACACCGCTGGTCAGAGATGAAACACAAGAATATACGGTGTAACACATCAGAACCACCTTGTAGCCAACCTGAAGATCTTTTGCTGTTTTGCAAGCTTCCCATCCCAACATATCCCAACATCACCCACGCTTCGATAATCAAACGTGGCAATGGAAAATCCATCATTTTAGTTTGGGAATTTCCCAGCCACGTTTCATGACCGGAGGATCAATATCTTCCCATACATCCCCCAGATATCCCCAGGATATTCCCAGGATATTCTTGGGAGCCGGGCACCCCGGGACCGGTTGTTCCGCCTGTAACTTCTGCTCGGCTCGGTCATGCACCACCATCGTTGCGGTGGTGCCGCCCAGACCGGCTTTCACCAGGCCGTGGCGATCCGCGGTGCGGAGCAGATCCTGGGACGCAGGCAAAAAATATGAAGCTGGTAGGTAAAATCTACAAATATTATAATATGATGGTTTATAGTACAATGGACATAGTGTTTGTATAGTGTATAGTGTTTGTATAGTGTTTGTAAATTGCCGTTTGTGTGTTTTCCCGAATGCGTAGCAAGGGTTCCCGTTTCACTCTGGGGGTCTGGGGGTTGAAGGTGAGTTCGCTCGACGTTGCGTTTATGTTCGCAACCGTCCGCAACCGTTCGTGACCGTCCGCAACTGTCCGCGCAATCACCATATGGCCGTGCCTATGGTAAGTTCTGCAAAAGGGGTCACTTTTGGAGGTTTCACATGTGGCGTTGTTTCGTTTCGCGTGGCAGGCGTGGCACTTCGTGACATTCAGACGTGTTTGGCAACGTGTCGAAAATCGTTTTGTGTGGCAGGCGCAATACTTTTGCGACGTTTTCAGAAGATGTGTTGCAGTTTTCCTGGCAGGCGCAGCACTTTGGACGTGCCCATCGTCATTTTGCGTGGCAGGCGCAGCACTTAGACGTGTCGTGTTGCGTGTTTTTTTGCGCATCGCATTGTCAGGGTTGCGTCAAGTGGCGACAAGGTGCAAATTCCGTGGCAGGCGCGGCATTTGTGAGATGTGTTGAAAATTGAGGAAGCCTCGCTCGAAACATCGATTTTGAGGTGGCAAATTTAGAGGTTCATAAGAAAACTCGTAGGAAAACATCGATTTTGAAGCCACAAGCCACAAAGTGTCAAAATTGAAGGAAGTCTCGCCTGCTCCCACGTGTCTCGTCTCGAGTCTCTGGTTTTTCCTGTGGCCTCGCCGTGTCTATGGGGTTGTAATGTTGTTTTGCGTGGCATGCACGGCACTTTGTGACATTCCAACCTGTTTGATAACTTGTCGAGAATTGTTTTGTGTGGCAGGCGCAATACTTTTGCATCGTTTGCACAAAATGAGTTGCAGTTTTCGTGGCACGCGCAGCACTTCAGACATGTCGCATTGCGTGCTCTACACTTCAAACTCCGCACTCTACACTCTACACTCCACACTCCACCCTTTACACTTCACACTCCACACTTTACATTCCACACTTTACACTTTACACTCTACACTTTACACTCTACACTTTACACTCCACACTCTACACTCCATACTCTACACTCCACACTCCACACTTCACAATCCACACTCTACACAGTACACTCCACACTCCACACTCGCCACTTTACACTCCACACTTTATACTCCACACTCTACACTTTGCACTCCGCACTTTACACTCTACACTTTACACTCCACACTCTACACTTTACACTCCACACTTTACACTCTACACTGTACACTCCACACTCCACACTTTACACTCCACACTTTACACTCCACACTTTACACTCTACACATTACACTCTACACTGTACACTCCACACTCCACTCTCTACACTTTACACTCTACACTTTACAATCTACACTTTACACTCTACACACGACACTCCGCACTTTACACTTTAGACTCCACACTTTACACTTTACACTATACACTCCACACTCTACACTCCACACTCCACACTCTACACTTTCCACCCCACACTCCGCACTCTACACTTTACACTCCACACTCCACACTCCTCACTTTACACTCCACACTCTACACTTTCCACTCCGCACTCCACACTACACACTTTACACTCCGCACTCCTCACTTTACACTCCGCACTCCTCAATTTACACTCCACACTCCACACTCCACACTGTACACTTTCCACCCCACACTCCACACTTCACACTTTAAATTCCACACTCTACACTCCACACTCAACACACGACACTCCCCACTTTACACTTTACACTCTACACTTTACACTCCACACTTTACACTCCACACTTTACACTTCAGACTCCACACTTTACACTCCACACTCCACACTTTACACTTTACACTCCACACTCCACACTTTACACTCCACACTTTACACTTTACACTCCACACTTTACACTGTACACTCCACACTTTACATTTTACACTCCGCACTCCACACTTTACACTCCACACTCTACACTCCACACTCTACACTTTACACTCCACACTTTACACTTTACACTCCGCACTTTACATTCCACACTTTACGCTCTACACTTTACACTCTACACTTTACACTCCACACTCTACACTCCACACTTTACACTCCACACTTCACACTCCAAACTCCAGACTCTGCACTTTACACTCCACACTCCACACTTTACACTTTACACCCCACACTCTACACTTACACTTGCACTTTACACTTTACACTCTACACTCCACACTCCACACTCCACACTTTACACTTTACACTCCACACTTTACACTTTACACGTTGCACTCCACACTCTACATTCTGTCACGTCAATGATGTTTCCCTATCTACGCGTTTCGGAATCCGTACCATTATCATACGCGTGAGCATTCGGGTTCGTAGGCTGCATCTTGTTTTCTGGCAAAAGTTGGGTTTAAGGGACCAACATTACCACATTATTGGTATATGCTCATGGGTTTATGGCATTGGGTTTAACATGGCGTACCACATTCCCAAAATAGTTAAACGTTACCTGTTAGAAACCTGGGTGGTTTAAAAAACTCCCCTTTTGATGGTCTATAATGGTTGCAATTACTCCATTCATTTTTTGAATGGTTTAGATTGTGGTTTATGTCACGTGTCTATGATAAAATATTATATATCCAAATAACATTGTGACTGGTTAATTACTATTTGCATATCATTACCTGATATTACCAGAGATGGGCAGTCCCCAATCGGTAGGTTTATGGCAATGGGTTTTGCAGCTTATTCTTTGGTCATCTTTGGTTCCGGGCCTGTTGAGTGGTGTTGTTCCCTTCAGAATATGAAGCAAAGATCATCAAAGATCCCTAGAGCCGTCCACTCCTGTGTAGCTTCAAAAGCGTCTGCCAGGGCATCTTGCCTTTGCCTGATCAAATGGGGTAAGAATGACTGGGAGTAAGGTGGATATGTTTGATATACCATCTGGTTATTTAACATAGCCATGGAAAATCCCTTGTAAATGGAGGTTTTTCATAGGAAAATCATCTATAAATGGGCTATTTTCCATGGCTATGTTAAATAACCAGAGGGTATTGATATTGGGTCGCACCATTTTTTTTAGGCAGTGCTTTCCACCGATTGATCGGAGAATCAAACCATAGAATCTAAAAGCCGCTTTTAGGTGCCGCATGGCAAAGGACCAGCCTCCGAAAACGATGATCTTGCAGCAAGAAACGGGGAAGGGCATCTTTGCTGATGTCTGCCACATGATGGCCTTGGCAATCTTGGCAGCTGATTTACGGTGAAAATGATAAACATGTGGGTCTGACACAAACCCACCCTGCGCAACAGCGTGACCTAAAAGATCTAAAAGGAAAGTGATGAGTTCAAACATACCGACTTAATACCACCTGACGGCGGGGTCGTGAAACTTCGGGCAACGTATCTTCAAGTCACGGCACGTCACAGGACGGCAGAGCAACTAAACTCTGGGTACCCTCCCTGTCAATCAGACTGAATCTGACAAGCGTCCGCTCATGCCATGGCCGTCGCAAACAGTGTACACCGAAAAATCACCCGCAACGTGGACAATTGACCAGTTGTCCTGCAGGAAGGCGACACTTTTCAAATCCTAACTGGCTGAATCGCAAGTTCTGCTGATCAAGATCCCATGTTTTGGACTCGGAAAAGATACCTGAAAAATTCAACTTGTGCTTACGTGGTGGTTTGGGTTGGTGGTTTGGAAGTCTGGGAATTGATGGTTTTGTAAACTTAGAAAAAACAAAAAATATCAAACCCTGCAAACAATGAAATCGTTGAAAATAAAGAAAACACATTTAAAACAACAATGATTGCTACCAGATTAGGTTTGTTTTTGAATTGATATTCATCTTGTATCTCGGAAAATGTACACTTATTTAATGTCCAATAATTTCACGTGATTGTTTAATTGATTATTGAATTCTAGTGCATTTTTTGTACTTGTCTATTTATTTTTGAAATGGGGGAAAGACAGTTTCTTGAAACCGTGTGGTCCTATCCTGTACTCTGACTGATGCAGGTTTCATGGATTTTCCATGGAGCTTCCATGCAGGTTTCATGTTGGTTACATGCTGGGTTTGCAAATTTAGCTTACTGGTGGGTAACCTCCATGACAACTCCCTGGAACCTGCATGGAATCTGCATGGAACCTCCATGGAACCTGCATCAGTCAGAGTGCATGATAAAACCAACAAGTGTAGATAGAGGCACCACCTCCATAACACACATGGAAACTGCATGAAATTCTACATCAATTCCCCATGGAACCTGCATGGAACCTCCATGAAAACTGCATCAGTTAGAAGGCGCCATGCAACCATCACGTTTAGACACAAGAAACAACGGTTACCTACATGAAACCTCCATGAAACCTACATCAATTCTCCATGGAACCTGCGTGGATACTCCATCAAGGAAGACGCCATACAAGCACCAGGTGTAGATACAGGGAACAGAGACTTTTTTTTAATGGAAACTATATGGAAGCCATCAGGCGCTTTGATGCAAATCGATCGCAAATCGATCGTAACTAAATTGATCGCACAAAAACTGTTATAGCATCTGTGCGTTTTGATGTCGTTTTCACTAGGCCATCTGTCTTTGCTGAGGTTTCTGTACTGGAAAAGTCAAATTCTTCCAGAATTTCTATTTATCCTGGGTGTTCGTTGCTTGGCGGTTTTGATGTTGGCAAGGCCAGGGTTTCAAGTGTGGACTTTGTAATGTGTCATTTTGATGTAGGATTTCGACGTTGTTTTGCGATCATTTTGCGATCCTTTGTCGATCGATTTGACATCGGCCTAAAAACGAATAAGAAGGCCATAAAACAACATCAATATGACATCGACAAGAACCTAAGGCCTGTAGAAAACGGCACTTGCCAATTCATATATTCATATGGTTTGGTGATCATAGAATCCAAGATGACATAAGTGAGTTCATTTCTCTTGGTGGTTTCGTCTTTTAATTAACTTAGTTTGCAATATTATATGTTAGGAACCTCCATCAAGTTGACACCGAGACAGACATAAAACTCCATCAAAATGACATCAAACAAAAATTCACATTTGAAACCTTGCCAAAATCGAAACCACCAAGCAGTGAACACTCAGGATAAATAGAAACTCTGGAAGAAATTGACTTGTCCAGTGCAGAAACAAAAAGGGACATCAACAAAGACAGATGACCTAGTGAAAACGACATCAAAATGCACAGATGCTATGACAGTTTTTGTGCCTTTTTTAACGATCAGTTTACGATCGATTTACGATCGATTTGCGATCAATTTGCGTCAAAGCGTCTGATGGTTTCCACGTAGTGTCCACTAAAAAAAGTCTCTGTTCCCTGTATCTACACCTGGTGCTTGTATGGCGCTTCTTTGATGGAGTATCCATGCAGGTTCCATGGAGAATTGATGTAGGTTTCATGGAGGTTTCATGTAGGTTCCGTTGTTTCTTGCGTCTAAACGTGATGGTTGCATGGCGCCTTCTAACTGATGCAGTTTTCATGGAGGTTCCATGCAGGTTCCATGGAGAATTGATGTAGATTTCATGCAGTTTCCATGTGCGTTATGGAGGTGATGCCTCTATCTACACTTGTTGGTTTTACCATGCACTCTGCCTGATGCAGGTTCCATGGAGGTTCCATGCAGATTCCATGCAGGTTCGAGGGAGTTGTCATGGAGGTTACACACCAGTAAGCTAAATCAGCAAACCCAGCATGTAACCAACATGAAACCTGCATGGAAACATGAAACCATGGAAACTCCATGAAACCTGCATCAGTCAGAGTACTGTACAGGATAGGACCGCAATGGAATTTGTTTCAAGAGAAACTGTTTTTTTTCTCTGCTTTGCTTTCATGTAGATTATTTAGATAGAATAGATAGGTAAGGTCACTTGGATAGAGTAGGCATATTAGATAGATCAGATAGAAAAGGTAGACTAGGTGGATTAGATAGATTAGATAGATTAATAGACAGACTTGAAAGATTAGAGAGGTTGGATTAGATTAGCTTAGATTAGATTAGATAAGATCAGAGAAGATTAGACTAGTTTGATAGACAAATAGACAAACAAATAAATAGATAGATTATGTAGATATATGAGATTGGTTGATAGATTGATAGATTGATAGATTGATAGATTGATAGATTGATAGATTGATAGATAGATAGATAGATAGATAGATAGATAGATAGATAGATAACAGACAAACAAATAGATATATTGGATATGATATATTAGATAAGTAAATAGATAGACAGACAGACAAACAAACAGATAGACAGATACTTAGAAAGATAGATTAGATTAGATTAGATTTAGATTTAGATTAAGATTAAGATTTAGGTTTAGGATTTAGATTTAGGATTTAGATTTAGGATTTAGATTTAGGATTTAGAATTAGGATTTAGAATTAGGATTTAGAATTAGGATTTAAAATTAGGATTTAGAATTAGGATTTAGAATTAGGATTTAGAATTAGGATTTAGAATTAGGATTTAGAATTAGGATTTAGAATTAGGATTTAGAATTAGGATTTAGAATTAGGATTTAGAATTAGGATTTAGAATTAGGATTTAGAATTAGGATTTAGAATTTAGGATTTAGAATTTAGGATTTAGAATTAGGATTTAGAATTAGGATTTAGAATTAGGATTTAATTAGGATTTAGATTAGGATTTAATTAGGATTTTTAGGATTTAGAATTAGGATTTAGAATTAGGATTAGGATTTAATTAGGATTTAGGATTTAGAGGATTTAGAATTAGGATTTAGAATTAGGATTTAGAATTAGGATTTAGAATTAGGATTTAGAATTAGGAGAATTAGGATTTAGGATTAGATTAGGAATTCATTAGGGATTTTAGGATTTAGAATTAGGATTTAGAATTAGGATTTAGAATTAGGATTTAGAATTAGGATTTAGAATTAGGATTTAGAATTAGGATTTAGAATTAGGATCTAGGATTTAGAATTCTAGGATTTAGAATTAGGATTTAGAATTAGGATTTAGAATTAGGATTTAGAATTAGGATTTAGAATTAGGATTTAGCATTAGGATTTAGCATTAGGATTTAGCATTAGGATTTAGAATTAGGATTTAGAATTAGGATTTAGAATTAGGATTTAGCATTAGGATTTAGCATTAGGATTTAGAATTAGGATTTAGAATTAGGATTTAGAATTAGGATTTAGAATTAGGATTTAGAATTAGGATTTAGAATTAGGATTTAGAATTAGGATTTATAATTAGGATTTAGAATTAGGATTTAGAATTAGGATTTAGAATTAGGATTTAGATTTAGATTTAGGATTTAGAATTAGGATTTAGAATTAGGATTTAGAATTAGGATTTAGAATTAGGATTTAGAATTAGGATTTAGAACTAGGATTTAGAACTAGGATTTAGAACTAGGATTTAGAATTAGGATTTAGGATTAGAATTAGGATTTAGAATTAGGGATTTAGAATTAGGATTTAGAATTAGGGATTAGAATTAGGGATTAGAACTAGAATTAGGGATTAGAATTAGGGATTAGGATTAGGGATTAGGATTAGGGATTAGGATTAGGGATTAGGATTAGGGATTAGGATTAGGGATTAGGATTAGGGATTAGGATTAGGGATTAGGATTAGGGATTAGGATTAGGGATTAGGATTAGGGATTAGGGATTAGGGATTAGGATTAGGGATTAGGGAGGATTATTTGGGATTAGGATTAGGGATTAGGATTAGGGATTAGGATTAGGGATTAGGATTAGGGATTGGGATTAGGGATTGGGATTAGGGATTAGGATTAGGGATTAGGATTAGGGATGAGGGATTAGGATTAGGGATTAGGATTAGGGATTAGGGATTAGGATTAGGGATTAGGATTAGGGGATTAGGGATTAGGATTAGGGATTAGGATTAGGGATTAGGATTAGGGATTAGGGATTAGGGATTAGGATTAGGGATTAGGGATTAGGATTAGGGATTAGGGATTAGGGATTAGGGATTAGGATTAGGGATTAGGATTGGGGATTAGGATTAGGGATTCGGATTAGGGATTAGGGATTAGGATTAGGGATTAGGATTAGGGATTAGGATTAGGGATTAGGGATTAGGGATTAGGGATTAGGATTAGATTAGATTTAGATTAGTTAAACAAAAAATAAAACAAATACAAAACACACAAAACAAAAACACATTTTTCAAATCTATTTTGCACATAACTCTGATTTCCCAGACTTCCAAACCACCAACCCAAACCGCCATATAAGTATAACCTGAAAAATCCTATTACATATAAATATTTTGCAGATTTGAGGCTTTGTCTGAAAACTAGGACGCCCCAAATTCACTGAGCAAAATTTTCTCATTTTTTCAACTTGCCATTCCCCATTTTCAGGCACACAAAAATTGAGGTGTCACCATCATCCTATTGACGGGTCACCCTTCCGCCACCCGTCGCCTGGTTCGGAATCTCGGGCTTCAGGCCCTTGTGACAACTAAAGCCTCGGGCCCCGCAGTGCAGTGGCCAAGGCGTGACCTTGTGACCTTGGCCCCTGATGGCCACAAATTTGCTGCTTATCATCATTGGATTGGTTTGTTGGGGAAAATCTTAACCGGAAACCCATGGGTTTTTTACCATCAAATTGATCGGGCTTTCCGGTTAAAATTTTCCCATCATCCAATTCTATGATTATCACACTGGGGGTCTTTCATTCTGGCAAATGGCAATCTGTCAATCAATCAGCTAAGGTTTACCATGGTTTACCATATCGGGCTGGCATTGTGAAGAGAAGAGAAAAATAGAAAATACCATAAACAGATATAAACAGTATGTATCCAGGAGTTGTGAGTTAAGTCCATTGACCCTGGCAGTTTTTTTTAATACGGCCGCCAAACACCTCCAACGTTGCACCGCCCGTAGAAAAATGAACAGCAAAGGCCAAGGCACCAATGGAATTGCTCCCCAGGCGTGGCCCTAAACGCACGGTTTCCGTCATGCTGAAAGGGTCCTGTAGCACAGGATGTCTGGCTTGCTCTGTGGTGCTCATGGTTTCGCAGGTCAAACGTCTCCAAATTCAAAGCAATTCTCAGGTACAAAATGACATTGCTGCAAGCCACTCACTGTCCCCTTTATATACTAATTATCTAATTGACCTCTTCAATCCTCTTCTCAACACCCATGGTCATCTAAGTGTTTTGACATGTCACGTTGGCAGGGGCTGTTACAAACCAAATCAAATGATCTGCCGCTGCGGCTGCACCAACCATCTCTATCCATCGGCGCCAAGGTACATTCTGCAAGCGCGTCCAGGAATCACCGTCGTTCCAATCGATCTTGTTTCCAGCCAGCATCCCTTTCCTGCCACGTCATGGTTGAACATGGCTGCATCTTGGATGTCCCAAAATGGTCCATGTGTGTGTGTTAGAAAAATTTTCGATAGATACCGTTTATGGCCCAGTTATGTGATAATCATTTGTATACAGGAAAATATGGAACAATCCTTCTATATATATATATATTCTCTCTCTCTCTCTCCATCGCCATATATTGGACGGATTATACATATGCATCATATAATTATATATATATTGTATATTATATATATAAATATCCTCTGCATCACGTGGTTGAGCATGCGTTTGCTTGCCCAGCCTGGTATCGCCTAGGTGGTCATACGAAAGACGCTCCTTAGAGTCACAAGAGATTCCATGGAACGCCCTTCAATTTTTCCTGAGAAACTGATTTTATTATTCCGTTCTTAGTTCTTACATGTTCTTACCGCATTTTGTCATATCAGAAAATTGTCCCAGGAATGCAAAGCAGCCTTGGGCCGAGTCACCATCGGCAAGTATGTAATGCCAAAAGTCATGCCATAGCCCCAGTAGAGGTTTTGACCTGAAGCCGGCTGAAGGTGTGTAGCAACAAAATGAGGGCATGCATTCAAACATCTACGAATCTACTACATGATGTGTAGAGTATGTCTGTCCATCTATCTATCTCTCTATCTCTCTGTCTGCCTGCCTGTCTATTAATGAAACTAAGGGAAACTACTTGTGCCTTTGCTTGTGTGTGCTGTATATATTTGTGTTATATGCGTGAGTACTGCATTTAAGTATATACACATCATAAGATCATGTGTGTGTGCGCGCCATGTTATGTTACAAAGCAGTTACCATCACCGCCACCAACATCATCAACAATAACAGCCAACCAAAAAGACCGTAACTGAACAAGAAAACCTCCCAGTATCCAGCAGCAGTATCCAGCAGTTGCGGGACCCCAACTCCGCCTTGAATCGTCTTCACACCTCCATGTTTGGAGGACTTCCAACGTCCATCCACTCCGGGCAGGGCATTCTCAGACAGCAAAACCATGGAGCGGTCCTGTCGTCGTCCCCCAGGAGGATTTGGATCCCAAAACCCACCGTTGGATGGTGACAGAGTCTACGGATTAAATATGTCTCAAAGTTGAACCAACCACAGGAGTGTAATGTATTACACCTAGATGCTTCGTGGGGACTTTCAGCATCTAGATTGAATGGCCCATGGTCGTTCAATGTCTTATAGGGCCGACCCACGGAGGCTGAAAGCAGAACAACGAATTGCCTGTAACGAGAACAACGCCATTTTCCATCATGCCCCAGGATCCCTGACACCAAATCCGCTCCATTGGTGCAGGTTGGTTCCAGGATTCTCCATTGATTTGAATATTGCTCCCTGGTACATCCCTGGATGTCATTTTTTTGTGGTGAAAGTGCATCCCCCTTTTTTTCGGCCTTGATAAATTTCTGTGACATCAAGACTTCCAGCAGGTTCTCAGAGCGCATGTTTTTCAAATACCTGGAGAAAACATGTGGTGGCGATCTCGGTGAAAATCGGCGGGAAAATACCATGGCTTAACGGATCCTCAGCTGGTTCTGAATGGGATCTTTATATACCCTCTGGTAAACTAACGTAACATAGCTATGGAAAATGACCCATTTATAGATGGTTTACCTATTAACAATGGTGAATTTCTATAGCTATGTTAGTAATTGCCAGAGGGTCAATGAACTCCCCCAATGCCATTCGTCAGATTTCGTCAGGTCACTTGAGGCCCTGCGCATCGATATCACATCTCACCTAGGTTTTTTCGAAAAGGCAAGTGGTGGGTTTCTCAGAGATGCCCCGTGATGAAAAAATACGAAGCTAGAAATGGAAGTGCCGTGGATACCCTCTGGTAATTTAACGTAGCTATTGAAAATGACCATTTATAGTGGATTTTCCCATGAAAAATTGCAATTTTCCATAGTTATGTTAGTTTACCAGAGGGTATGTTTAAAGAAACCTTCAAAATGATGCCAACACCTGAATCTCCGCATGCCAGGTCCACAAGAAAGCTCAAAAAAAAACAACAGACATCATAACATCACCATACAATACCGTACACCACTACTTCAGGTTCTTTTTCACAAACGGGGTTGTTCAGTTCCCATTCGGGAACTCGAGAACTCCCAACTGCTTTGCAGTCAGAACGAGGCAGTCCAGATGCTTGGCAGACTAGACACCCCAGGTTCGATCAGAAAAAGAGGATTGGGCTTCAAAAAGTTGCAGCAAACTCTTTAGACTTAGGTTGGAAAATGCCCCAAGAACATCTAAATGAAGAAATGCAAAGGCATTGGTCTACAACGATGAAATTCAAATGTCCAAGAATTTGTGTTTCAAAACATCCATGAAAATGTCTCCTCCCCATGGTTCAGAAGTCATTTTTTTGCGCAGGATCTTCACCAATCCCAAGATCGCCGAAGTGCATTTTTCACATCATGAACTGACTAACACAACGAGCCAGGCCAAGCCTGCTGGCCTGGCTCGATGTGATGGGTTCATACACCGTTTCCGATTCGAAGATGGAGGGTCAGCTGTGAGTGGAGCCAGGAAAAATTGCAGGAAACCCTGCAAGTCTGCAAGTTGCTGGGGTGAAGAACCCTTGGTTTATGGTTGAACCAGCTGGTTTTCTCGGTTAAAATTCCTGTGTGATTTTCGGCCTCCTGGCACCTCTCAGTTGCTCCCCGGATGGATGACATGGTGGTAGACATAGTGATGCGGGCCATCAGGGCCTCCGTGTCTGTAATCCTTGGTATCAGCCAGGCATTAAGCCAGGGACATGCGGAAGGTCTGGCCCAGTGTAGCTAGCTCCAAACAGATAGAAAAGTCATCTGCCGCGATTTCACCCGGATTTTGCTGCTCAGACTCTATCTTTCTTGGGGGTTCCTGTATGGTGAAAATAGATTATTGCCTCTTCCACATGAATGAGAAAGGTTTGCTGTTGCTGTGGGCTACATTTTTTTAAAGTCCCAGCAATGTCTCGGCAGTTCAAAGTGAAAAAACTGGAATGGACCTACTGTATCAGATAGATGCTCTACCGGCTCTTTGTTTGATCAGCATCCTTTGAAATGAGCCATGTCCGATTGATGAACCTCAGGTTATATGTCAAGGATCTTAAAAGGGGGTCACTAAACAAGTGATAATTCAAACCACCAGTGGGTTTGCTCAATCCAGCTGACTCTCAGACTACAAAATACCATAAATATCGAAGCCAAGAAACATGCGCAGCGCCAACGTGATAGCTGTGGCTGCTGCGACCCACATCATACCCATGGTGATAGACATAGTGCTGTTTGCCATCATAGCCTCCATGCTCATAATCCTCGATATCTGCTAATATCGCACTTTGGAGGGGCTTGGAGAACAAAAAAAGCTGCCCAAAGAAACATCTGATGATGGTTGATGATGGTTGAACATCTGATATCTGATAACGGTGCAAGACCTGGGACTGTCAAAGTCTGACAAAGCTAAGGAGCACGTGCAACGCCAGCATGGTTGTGGCTGCCGTGATCCACGTCGTATCCATGGTGATAGACGTAGTGATGTGTGTCATCATAGCCTCCATGCCCATAGTCCTTGACATCTGCGCAGTGGATGGCCGGGTCACTACTGCCAACCCTAAGATTTGGATAAATTTGGATGGCTTAATCTTCAAAATAGACCCATGTTCTATCATGTTCTCTCTTTTTTTACACCAACCTATATATCTATGTGTATTTATATATATATCTATATATATATATCTATCTATATATATATATCTATCTATGTGTATATATATATATATAGATGATGTGACCAACTGACAAGGACATTCTCGGCCAGTTCTACTGGCAAATTTTGAAGGGCAGCTGACAAGACTGCGACCTGCCCTTCACAGGTGCCAACCATCAAGAATTTATTGCTACTGATCATCTGATCTATGTGGCCTTGAAAACTAGTGGTCCAAGTGCTTTCTTATCGAGATACACTGAAGTTGGCGGATAACAGATTCCATACAGATTCCTCTTCAAAATCTGCATTTCATGTCATTTCCACAGCATTTCCACAGCACTTCAAAATCTGCATCGCAATCAATGGATTGGTTTGTTGGGGAAAATCTTAACCGGAAACCCATGGGTTTTTACCATCAAATTGATCGGGCTTTCCGGTTCAAATTTTCCCATCATCCAATTCTATGACGCAAGCATCAGGCAAGTGAGTGTAGTACGCCTGCTTGAGCACATGCGAAGTGATGCCAGTCGTCACGGTCTGCGCTGGAACCAAATGGGATACGCTGGGATCGTCAGGATCAACCGATCATCCAAGTAGGGCTGGATATGTTTGATATACCCTCTGGTAAACTAACATAGCTATGGAAAATAGCCATTTATAGATGCTTTTCCCATTCAAAATGGTGATTTTCCATAGTGATGTTAGTTTACCAGAGGGTGTGTATATATATAATGTCAACCCCGGATTAATAAACCATGGTTTATTAATTAGGGGGTATTCCCCGAATAGGAATATAATTTGATACATAAATGGTATATGTTTGATATACCATCTGGTTATGACTAACATAGCCATGGAAAATCCCCTATCAATGGAGGTTTCTAGCTGGGAAAATCATCTATAAATGGGCCATCTATACCATGGCTATGTTAAATAACCAGAGGGTATATATATATATTAATATATAATGTCAACCCCGGATTAATAAACCATGGTTTATGAAATAATGGGGGTATTCCCCCAATAGTCATGATTTGATACTTAAATGGTACCCTCCCAATGAAAAACAGCCGTGTGGGGTTTATTAATCCAGGGTTGACATTATACTCTGGTTATGACTAACATAGCCATGGTATAGCTGGCCCTAATCGAAATAGATGGTTTACCGAACTTAAAAATGGTGGATCTTTCCATGGCTATGTTAAATAACCAGATGGTATATATGTGTATGTGTATATATATATATAAATGGAACAACCAACCGGCAAAATCGACAAGCTCCAGACAAACCCATAGGTGCAACCTGCCATGTTGATGCTTTATATACTGACATTTGATGAATTTGTTGGTTTCATTCTCCATCTATACTCCATGATCTCCATTGCCATCTCGACTGCTTCAAAAAGCAACCAGGTTGCCCTGCGGCAAGAAGCTGACACCGGCCGGCAATCAAGCATGAAATGCTTCAAAAAATGGGGATTTCCAATTCCAATTTCCAGCTTAGATTCCCAAAAAAAACCGCCCATGACTTCCATGGTTTCCTCCATGCCGAAAAAGCCATGGCTTTGAAAAAGGCCGAAAGCGTGCCTTGGTAAGACCGGTGCCGTGCCAGGTGCCAGGGCAGCCAAGGTCCTGGAAAAACATGGCAATTGGGTTGGTTTCGAGGGAAATTTTGCTGGAAAACTTTGTTTTTGCATGGTTTTACCATGGTTTTTACCTTTCAAAATGATTGAACATGTGGGTTTCCTGGAAAAAAATGCCCAAAAATCGCTATGCCCAAAGGAACGCAAATGAAACAGGTGACATTCCATTGCTATGCTTGATTACCGCAGGGTTGGGTATATCGAATGGAGATGCCCTGCAGCTATGGTTTCCCACCGTGGGAAAACCTGTCATATCAATATCACTAGGGCTAGGGGTTTAAGTTTAATCATTTCTAAGTGAGAACAGATCCAGAGCTCCAAACAAGAAATGGAGCTGGGATTAGCGCATCATAGTTCATGTGTATGCAAATGTATATACGCAGAAGCATAGAAGAACATCAAATCGCAGTCAGAATCATCAGCACAAACACGTGTCTTTGTGCAGCATTCTGGTGACCTGGCTTTGCCTCCCCGGGTGATATAAGCCGAGGATCCTCATTAGCGCAGCACCAGTGTTTCCTTGGTGCTCCAGGGCCGTTGTAGCTGGGTTGGTCAAAAGAAAACTCGCACTTCCTAAGCAAAAAAGCACCCAACCTAACTGAAGCGCAAGATTCTGATTTGATGAGTGCTCAATATCACTTCAAGAAACTTCAGAACAAATGCAGGAATATTATGTTGGGATGTCCATCCTCTACCACATCTATCATCTACCCAGGTTTGAAAGTTTGATACTGTCATATCATATATCCACTTAAGCTACGATGACGGTGTCGAGGCTGTCCTAGAGAGATCCACCAGCACCAATTCATGAGATTGGTTTAAGGAAATTTGTACAGGAAGCCCACATACGCCACATAGTCACGCCTTTTTCTTCCCTGATGTTTCCCGTAGAGTTTCCATCATTTTCCCATTTTTCCCCCAGTTTCCAATGACCAATGGATCAATTGATTTCCCCCAAGCTCCCAACAAGTTTCTTTGCCCCAGACCATCCATAGATCCAGTTCTTCAGCCCTGCATTGCAGTCGTACACCCGCTTCACCTGCATTGCGTCATCCCGTATTAAAAAACATCGTGTGACATGGTCCGGGCTCGGAGCCAAAACTCAAAAAATAGCCATGTGAACTTCAAAAGATATTGCCCGCATGACTCTATATAAACTGGAGGAGTTGTATAGTAACATAACATGACCGACATGACCCATTTTGGGGGCTCCATTGGTACCTCACTGTTGAGCCATACCATGCCAGACGTTTAAAAAACCTGTCGGAGATGTGAGTTGTGCACCGGACATGGATATACAGTCAATTGGTGCAGTAAATCTATAATAATCCTCGGGCGCCCCATGTTCAAAATCACGAACAAACCGATTTCGGAGGGATATCTATATATATATACTATACATAGTATATATATATATACATATAGAATGGCAATCAACTCTACACATACACGCCGATACCATCGAGTAAAATGCAAACCATTTCGCCATTGGAAAGTGTGCATTGTCTGAAAGCAAGGTACCCCAATCGATCTCCTGGTTGCAAAAATCCTCTTCCCATATTTCCTAAGAAATTGATGCCTTGTCCATAATTATCCCACCATATCTACCAGCATGATCCCCATCAATCCCAACTTTTTTGGACAAACCCAGGTGTTTTCTCAGATGTCAAACCCATGCCAAACCTGGATGTGCTTGGTCTTGTAGATGGTCTTGTCGCGAACCACCTGGCTTCCAAGGCGTCTCGCTGGGCTGGAGGACTGGCAGTCAGCCCCTGGAAGGGGCCGCATATCACTGGTCCAGTGAGACAAATGACACCTTGTATCTGGATACATAAAACTAACGAACCCCTTGGCTACCTAAAATCTATGCATCAACATAGCCAAAATCGACAATCAAAGGGGGTGGTAGCTGTACGTGTGTGTGTGTGTGCGAGTCAATCCTCACGTTGCGATGGCTTATTATACATATACATTTTATTATATACACCTAACGCATGCAATCATGGACATGCATATGTGTGTGTGTGATTATATATGCATGCTGCATAATTATATGCAAATGCATGTGAGTGCCCATATGATCATATGCAACTGCATATGCAATGAAGGAAGTGAACGTTAAGATGTTAAGGCCCTGAGTATCCCAGTGGCCTCTTCTGCCAAAATGGTGCAGGCAAGGAGCTGTTTGGGGGGGCATGGGCACTTTCACGCGAATCACTCCTTGGGCACAGCCCAAGGTCTGACCGAACTCCCATCCCTGAGAGTAGCTCAGTATTTTTAGATGAACGGATTCTGTACAGGAGCTGCTGAATCAGCAGCTCCGCATAGCTCCGCAGCTCCGAAACCTTCATGATCTTCATGACCCACAGCCCTCGACCAAAAGATACCAAGACTCTTCCAGGGTCAGTCACATGGATCGGCACTGGAACGGTGTGATACTGTGGAGGGCTTGCTACTGGCACTGGCACCAAGCGTTGCTCATGGACAATCCTGCTGCGGATGAAAACTGGAGTTAACTGGGAGGTTTCTAAAATGATGCTCCCTTCCTCGTGTAAAATGTCCCAAATAAAGGACCCCATATCATACACGATCAGATTTATGCTTCATGTCTACTAAGTTACTAGATATCATGTGGAATTCGGGGATTTACTTTCCAAATTTTCCAATCTTCTTCACAAAACAGCCAGCCGCTTCAAAATTGATCCACCGATATCCACCGCTGCTCCAGCGCGCCTCTTCACGATGTGCGGCGCCCCAGGGGTCGGCACTCGGATCACTTGCGGTGGGTCTTGAATCGGCTCGTTGACCTCGACCCAAAATGTGACCCCCTCAAATAGCGGTTCAGCTACCCTCTGGTAATTTAACATAGCTATTGAAAATGGTGATTGCTAGTGGATTTTCCCATTAAAAACGGTGATTTTCCATAGTTATGTTACATTAGTTTACCAGAGGCTAATATAAATAGGGATTCCCTTGGCTGAACCTTCGGGATAGCCTAGCCAGAAAATATATATAAATATATCTCTCTCTAATCCCGAAGGTTCAGCTCTTTGGCGATTATAGGATCGTATTTTTTGCAGCGAGACTGGAGAATCGGACACGAAGGTTGTTTAGTTTTTTTTTTGGAAACGATGACAGCTTCCGTGAAAGATGGACAACTTAACTGTGAAATGTGGACAACTTAACTTGGAAACGTCTGGACAACGTCTGCAAATTCGATAAAACAAGTCCCCAGTACTGAGTACATCTGAGTACTGTGGGCATGCTTCTGGATGAGGGATTGAGAAACATATTTCAACACTCATGTACGGCACGCTAGAAACATCCAAAAACCCATAATAATGTTCTTTCATACAAAGTGTTCAACGTAAAGTCCATGAACGACTGGGACCCCATTCCAGTACTCAAAGACATCCCCACCCTTTCTGCATCTTTGGACTCGCTCCTGAAAGTCAAATTTCTCAGATATGTGTGTTGCTTTCTCAGTTTGTTTTCATGTTTAAACATGTTTAAACTTTGGAATCGGTTAACACAAATCCAGTTGGATTTGGGTTGCTTGGGGTGCCCCCCCCCAAAAAAAAAAAACAAAACAGAACATATCAAAAAACTGCCCTGAGATGCCATTTTCTGGCAAGGCGCCACATGCCTCACCACACGTGGTGGTGGGGCTGGGATTGGAACCCTCACAGGAAGGGCAACTGGTCTCACCTTGGTGATGATGTGGTAGTGCTTCCGCACCTGCGTCCGCCAAAAAGGTGGGTTAAACCATGGCTTCGGGTCGCATTTTTAGTGAAATTAGAAGTGAAAGATGTTGAAAGATGGATGAACACGGATGAACATGGATGGAAATGGAAGACCCTGCTGGAAAATGAATGGACTCTAGAAATGACAGCGCTTTGCTATTGGAAGTGTCTCATCAAAAGTGTCATCTCATGTCAGCTCACCATGGTTGGTGACCGGTGACTCTTAGTGGTAAGAATCCAAAGCCCCCACCTCCACTTTATTCCGGCAGGAGATGTCCTTGAGGTAACAGCCTTAGGCCGAAACACCCCGCCAAGAAGGTCCAAGGATGCATCCGGATGGACGCCCACTCGGCTCATCTTCAGCATTTTTTTTGAGTATCAAACCTTCTATTTTGGTGGCTAATGCTGACTGCTGACCCCACTTTTTTTCCCACAACAAAGGCGCCAAACAGAGATCGAACCTCCGGTGGGTCAGGTTTAGATGAACCGGACAGGTGCCCAGCAACAGTAGCGCTGATGTGCGCTGGACCACAAATGATGCCAGTCATTGTAGCCCTTCTCACAGTCAAAGGCGTGCGTGTGTACATAGACCTCACACAGAACGACATGAACGACAGCCTGTGAGAGAGTTCTATGTTTTTATCAACCTTGCAGATCCAAAAAAACCATCTGATATACCCTCTGGTAATTTAACGTAGCAATTGAAAATGACCATTTATAGTGGATTTTCCCATTAAAAATGGTGATTTTCCATAATTATGTTAGTTTGCCAGAGGGTAGACATGGGTGCATGCAAAACCTGGTTGCATCATGTTGCATCCCCGTTTTACTTGCTCCGTGCATGCGCAAAGCCCTGAGAACAAACACGGATCTCCAGACCGAACGTGATCATACGTTTCGAAGATCATATTGCTCAATCGTGACATCTTCATATCGCTTAGCCATTCATTTTGCCCCAAGTTCAACATCCAGCAATTGATACTGACACTGACTCTTCACCTCTGGATGTTTACCAAGTACCGTCAAAATAGCTATTGAAAATGGCCATAGAAATAGTGGGTTTTCCCATTAAAAATGGTGGATCTTTCCATAGTTATGTGGCTGTTTACCAGAGGGTAAACATCAGCAAACCCTCCGGTCCGGTTCACCTTGTGAGTGATCACTTTCCGTGGCGGTCCAGGGATCGGGATCTGCGACGGCAGGTGAGAATCAGGAATTTTTCAGGGCACTTCCGAGATGAGTTCCCCATCATTTCCCTAGATTTTCCCATTAAAAAATGGGATTTTCCCCATTTGAAAATTGGATTTTCCCCATTTGAAAATTGGATTTTCCCATTAAAAATGGGAATTTCCCATTGCCATATGAGTTGTGTGTTTTTTCATTGCTAAACTGCAATACACAAATTATATAGGACACCTACGCGGGGCCTACGCAAACCACTCCTCCCATGCAAAACTGCCTACGCGAGGGTTACCTTTCAAGAAGTGCCTACGCGGTTGCATCCGCGAAAGTTGCTGCAACGATCTCTTTACTTGACGTGATGTGGTCACAATTCTGGTTCAGAAGAGGATTGGAAAGAATTGGAAGATGACGATTCTTTGGGTGACTGGTGAAAGGATGTGAAAGGAAGGCGGAAGCCTCATCAAGAGTGGAGCACTTTGTCATGATGTGATCGGCAGTCATGATGAACTCATGGAAACATTAGAAAAGTGAAGCGGTAAGACTTTGATGGGCTACGGGCCCCAATTTGACCTAGGGCCTCCGCGTTTCCTACGCGATGGCCTACGCGGAGCCTACGCGAAAATCCGATTCGAAAACTTGGCACTTGTAATTTTATGAAAAAGCGGTGTTTCTTTCATCTCCCCTTTCTTCCAGCTAAACATATGAATCATATTGAATCATATACAATCCAGTTTGCATTTAAAATCATTGTAAGCCACCAAGAAAAACAAGAGTTCGAGGACCTACGCACCAAGCAGAACAGCCTATGCATGAATGATGTGAGTTCCTCCTCAATCTAAATTCCATCATTTGGAGGAAAAAAAAAACGTGGCGCACATGTTAAATATGTGAAATTCTCAGAGGTTACCTGTGCCCAGGTTCAATGGTTCAATGGTCCTGTGATGTCCTGTGGTCCTGCATGCCAGTACTCTACCAGGCCATGGAACATCCACACTGAAAGTGACTATTGGTATCTATAGGTGATGTTCAATGGCTTTGATTAGCAAAGAATACTACCCCCAAAAAATATCAAAAAATGTGGTGAGTTTAGAGAAATCGTGGCTCACTGTCACAAATATAAATAGTTTCATGGGAATACCGGAATACCCCAACAATACCTTTGACACATTAACAGGATCAAGATAATCACCCTAGGTGAACGAATGTTCAATCATCTGCCGCTGATTGACCATGATTGACCTATCTGTCTTATCTAAGCTTCTTGAATTGAGCTTTTCCTGTTGCTGTGTCTCTTTTACCATAAAATAGCGGGATATGATTGGGATGGATGTTCATCTATCCAATAATTGAACATTGGTTGTCTAGCCCGAACCCAAAACAAGGAAAGCAAGAAGAAGTAACATTCAAAAAGCCCCCTTACATCTCCAATCTGCCAGCGCTTGTGTTACTGACCGTCCGAAGCTTTGTGCGTCACCTCCGCTCATTCAATGGCCAGGGTTAAAAAACCGACATCTTTGAACCTCATGTCGCATCAAAAGCACCTCCACATCCATCCCGTGTTCGGATACTCAGCGATGCATTTTACTCCATGAAGTCACCAGCGGAAGTAAATGGGGCAGAACTATAGGAGAAAAACTGGTAAGATTGTAAAATGATTCTTATTATGATGTAATATAGATCTACAAGCAGAATCAAACACATGCCATGTAACTAAGCAAATCAGCAACCATCGCAGCCGAATTCGACCGAACCTGTACCACATGAGGCACTCGCACATCCTTCACTCGGGTGATGTACTTCCTTAGCTGTCTCTAACTCTAGCAGACCCAGGAAATCCCAGCTGAAATGGAGAGGATACCGATGCATTTCGGCGACTTTCCGCTGGGTGGGAATACTAAAGGGTGGAACTGGCATGCCGTGGCATCCTAGGAAATTCCTCCAACTGAAGGCTCCAACTTGCAAGATGTTTCGCCCACCTTCCGTGATTTTGGCCCAAAACTGCCTCAACATTGCAAGTTTCATGGGGAAAAACACATGGAAAAACATGCTATCAAAGCTTTGGGAAATTCAGAAATCATAGGGGCTCGGCACAAACCCACTAGCCGCCGAGATTCTCATGGACCACCTCCTTTTGCGGCGCGGCCGTAGTGGCGCAGAACTGCATGAAACCCTGCTCACAGCAGAGCCTTGGCGTCCGAATGACCAGCGAAGGGGAAAAATCCTGAAAAATCCAGCCGGATCTACCTGATTTCGAGACTCTCCAAGCTCTAATCCCACCAGTTATAAGTACATAATCCAATTGTTAACCATTTATATATATTTATATATCATTTATAGTTGGTAAACGGCCATGAAGCTGGGACAAAAATCTCTGACGTCAAGGGGCGGGGCCATGCCCTCACTCTCCACCGTGAAGACATTTTCGCAGGGCATCTCAGCTGCACCGATGTTGGGTCCCGGATCATGCCTGAGCTACGGCGGTTCAAACAGCCACCAAATCAATGGGAATTTCAGGATCCTAAAATGGAGGTACTGTACTATATAAGACCATATTTTATGGGGATATTCCCTTACATAGGCCTTATATAGGCCTTATATATGGTAGGTACCTCCAATTTAGGTTCCTGAAATGGCCATTGACCAAAGGATATGATGGATATGGATGGATATGGAATCACACAGGATGTTGATGTTCCTTGATTTTCAAGTGGGAAACAAGACTCGTGCAATGTGACTTCCGACTTCCTTGGTTGTTGATGGAGGGACCTAAGCAAAAACACCACTGGGGTACAACTATATACAGAAACAAGCGGGACAGAAACCAACCAGGAAACAACAATGATGCTGGTGGCTTGTGATCAAGCCGGCATCTCAAAGATATGAATTTATTTGGGTTATCATCATCAAAGAAGATGGAAAACATATATAAACCCATCAACTATCAACTTGCCATCAACCAGCTATCCTCCATCTGTGTGGCCACCGAAATGAGAAAACTTGAAGACAAAGTGTCACCCCCAGTCCAAACAACTCAGTTTTCGCTGGTGTTGCTGGTGAAATCTCACTGTCCTCACTTCCTCTGCTCATTTAACTAAGGCACATTAAATGCATGTATATATATATATATGCGTGTATATATATAATTATAATGTATGTGTCTAATTCTGTGTATGTGTGTTCTTTAGGAGTCAGACAAAATCACATCAAATGTTTCTCAGATCTTCAGCATTCTTCAGCCAAAGTGTCAGGTAGAAGAGCAAGAGCCCCAGTACAACCAAGACCATGAAGCACAGGGACAGCACACAAAAGAGCCGCAGTCGAAGACCTGGGAATCCGGGCATCAGCTCCGAGGTTTGCTGCCAGAAAACGATCAAAAGTAGCATTGACTCATTGACTTACCAGTTTTTTGCAGAGTCTCTATCAGTCATCCAAAAAAAAAAACATCCAAAAGTCGTAATAACACCACATAAAACCGACTTTTGAACATCCACTTTTGCATGTCGATTGGATCACCAGTCACAGATTTTTGGTCTCAAAAGTCATTTTTGGAAGTCCAAGAAATCCCCAGAAATCCCGAGAAATAACATCCCAACGGCCTGATCGTACCACCACCTTCTCCTTGGCAAATTCGCCTTGGCCGTGCCCCACCGGCTGCATCGACGTCACCTGGGTATAGTCCCCCCGACCTGGCGGCACAAGCCTCACCCAGGCTCCAGGAAACCAGGATACAAAGAGTTGATATATAAGCTCTGTTTCATTCTGATCATTCTGTTTCTAAAAAAAAATCTAAAATTGTTTTTGACTATTGAGCTTTTGGAGGTATTTGGAGGTAAAAGCCCAGTGCCCTTTTTTGAATGAAATTCTTGGGAGAGGAGCTAGTGGTACAAACCAACTTGCATCCAGTGGCAAATCTAGACCTTATGAGAATTGGCTAGCATGATCCATGAAAGTCGTGGAGAGTGGTGCTGCAAACTGGAATTATTTGGTGCCACTGCAACTTCAATATGTCCTCGGGGCATCATCTGGGCATTGGTCCAACTTCAAGACAGTGGGTATGCAAATGCTAGTCTGCTAGTTGTTTTTTTTCTGCATGCATCCAAGTTTGATGTATAACCAATGTTTATTTAATATAGCGCCTAATTTCACCATAGAAAATAGATCAATACATGTTTTAAACAAATCAACCAATTATATCACCTCTTTGATCCATGCGGCTGCTTCCCCCCGTGGGTGGGCCTCTACCCACATAGGCAAAGCGTTCATCCATCACGCGCTGTTCCGGGTCCTCCTGAAGGTCATCACGGTGCTTCAACGGGCACACAATGGGCAATTAAATTAATGGAACATTACTATTAACGATGATGATTAATCATTTTAATGGAACATTAAAATCATATTAATATGGATGTATAAATTATATCTAACAGCTATGTAACATATCTATGGAAAATGGTCCCTTCAAGTGCATGTTCTGCATGATGGAAATCGGTGATTTTCCATGGCTATGTCAAATTACGGAGGCTAACGGGGATCGTTGCATCTGAAGAATAAGCTCATCATTTTTTGATCATCATTCCATTCGATGGGAATAACAACATATGGGTATGGGTCAAAATTAGGTACCCCAATAATTGGATGGTTAATGATGGTTAATACTAAACTAGACTAACATTTGTGGTCCCCTAGGTCTTCCATTTTGACCCACATCCATATTTGAAACCAGATCACACATTGGCAGACAGGGAAATGTCTCTTTGTGGTCGCAGATTCGTGCATCTCAGCGGCTTGACTATGGATGACCTCGAGATACCTTAGTTAATAAAGGTCACTAGTCACTAGTATGCAAACATACATATATATATATATGTGTGTATACGTATAATTATGTATATATATATATGTATGTAATTATCTGTGTATGTGTGTGTGATGTACGAGCCTTTTGGTGACTAACAGAAGGTGAAGAATTCACCACTTTATCTATCGATTATGGCCCAATTTTGCCGTTCCATTTGTGGTAAGAGATGGAACCTCCAACTCAATTCCGATGTTTTTAGTAGCTGACATCAACCGCAGTCACAGAATCAACAAAGTAAACAGTACCATTCCCCAATCAACATAGGACCCGATAATCGTCCCTAGGAGACAATAATCATCCAAGTCCAAACTCATGGCAGAGTATGGCAGAGTCTATATGAGCTTGAGGGGAATGGTTGCAGGATTCAATGTAACAGATGCAGGTAGTAACATATTGAAAAAAAAACAATAGCATTCATCAATAATATCAATCAATATTTAATTATTATATAATTTAGCCTGTCAAGATCATAGTACTCGTTAATCAATATTACATAATCAATATACATACACACACACATATATATATATATATGTATATATTGTTCATGGATCATCATAGTATGTCAAAGTCAGATTCTACCGGAGCAAGTTTTCGCATGTGCCACCACCGCTCGTAAGTTCTCCTCGCAAAATGTATCCTCACAGCCCTCACCTGCTGGATGGAGGAAGCCATGGCCCATCAGGTCTGAAAACATGTGGTTAAATGGATGATGGACACCCCCGACATATATTGGAAATATAGTTTTGATGGCAATTTTCGTAAGGAGAATATGGGGAAATAATGGTTCATGAACGCAAATTCATGAGTATCTATATAGGGGTACCCTCTTCTCAGAAAGCAACATGAAGAATCACAAGGTAAGGCATATAACCCCATCCCCCTTATTATATCCTGAGGTGTGCCAGCTAAATGAATAGATGATAATAGGTCCCATACATTCCACTACTATATAGAATATAAACTCATGATGATTTCTATTGGGTGGTATTTAGTCTTCTCCGTGTACATGAAGCATCTGGGGACCAAAACCAAGCATCAAAATGCAGTAGTTCTTGATGTCAACTGGCCCTTGACCAACATTTGTCATCCCAAATGAGGCGTGAAAATGTATTATATAGTAACTAGCGACCCAAATAGCACCATACCATTGGCACCATGGGTATCCATGGGTCATAAACCCCCTTCCCTGCCAAAGCGTACCTCGTCGCATGTGCATGTCTCCGTGAAAAGTGCCACTGTGCATGTCTCCATGAAAAGAGCTACCTCCGAGATGGCTGAGGAGAAGGGTCCGGGTTTTATGTAATTGGTGAGCTTTAGATTGCGATATGGTAATCCTCTTCAGGTGCTTATTAATGCTATTTTCATTCTGGCATCGCCAGCGGGTTTTTCAGAATGATCGAGCTGATAAGAGACGAAAAGGGCAGCAAACACAGGGCTGCCACAAGGCAGCCAGCGCGCTACTTTACAGCTGGGTTGTGGCTTCTGAGGGGTGTGGCACCTTGCACGGGAGTCATCCTTATATACTGTATATATACTATATTAATCCGTTCTTTTTGATTTGCGGAGCAATTTGTGCATTAACATTCGGCACTTCATGATTTCACATGGGAAAACATTATTTATTCGAATCACATTCATCAACGATCGTATCAACAAAAAACTGATGAAAGATGCTGAAAACGTTCGCTTCGGAAATCTGTTCCTTTGTCACACGGTAGCCCGGGTTGACATACAATTGCAGCGCACCTCCATGACTATGCATGGTGCCCGGGAAACTGCCATGGCTGCTGCCTCCAGTTGCATCAAGTTGGGAAACTCCCATGCTGGGACACAGAAGGCATCTCTCTCTCTCTCTCTCTCTTCCTCTCCATCGCCATCTCAGAGAGTTCAACAGAGGCTGAAGACTTCTCCGTCCATGATATGGTTCAGGCAACTCAAAAACCGTTGATTCCTTCATGGTCAACCTGTTTCACCCTTACCTCAAACAATCAGGAACGAGCAACCACCAAAAAAACAGCAAGACACATCAAAACCAATCAAAAAACAAAATCCAGCAAACAAGTCAAAAACCATCAAACAACGTATATTAAAAAACAGCAAAAACATTGAAAAAAAATACCAAACATCCAGCCAAAAGAAAAAAAGAACAAACAACATTCGGGGAAAAAAAAACATCAAACCCATCAAAAAACTTAGCAACTACATCAAAAACCAAGCAAACATATCAGTAACCAAGCAAACAGCATGAAAAAAACAAGAAAATGCCAAAATCATAAAAAGCAAAACCCAAAAGAATATGCAAACATCAACAAATCAGCAATAAACATGGAAAACACAGCAAACAACCCCGCAACAAAAAAAAACATTACCACCCCTAACACACATATGGATACATATGGTATATATAAACAAAACTGCAAAGTATAAAGAACCCAGCAACAAGCATCAAACACGCATTAACATCGAAAACCCCACAAAGAAACATTAAAAAACCATCAAAAGCTTCAACAACCCAACAAAGAAACACCAAAAAATTGGCAACAAAACATCAAAATCCAAGCAAAAACAAAGAAATTAAACAGTACAAAACCCAGCCAAAAAACATCAAACCCCTCACAAAAACATCAAAAATCCACGCCAAGCACCTGCCAGCACCATGCTGGAGACTCACCAGCGCAAAGGTCGGCAATGTGCCGCGAAAAACGGCTGCAAAGTGTTGTATTTTCATGCACTTTTGGGAGAATCATCAGCATTTTTCTATAGAAAATGACTGATTCAACATGCTTGAATAAATGTTTTAACTGCTCATCACTGCTCATCATGAAAAGATAGGACGAAGCTGACGACAATCCATGCAACGGCTGTAAAAAAGGGAGCTGGAATGAGCTGGAATGAGCTGGAATGAGCCACTTACAATACCCTAGAATTCCTCATTTACCAAGCTCAGATCGCCCAGTCACCCAACCATCACCCAAGTCTTCCCCCTGGATGCTGCTTCCCCACTTGGCAATGAGGTTCCTGGGGCGAAGCAATGGCAGTTCCATTCGGGAGGGGCTGAGCTGGACCCAAAGGCTGGTCATGCCCTTGGGGGCATACTTCTTGAACCGTTCGATGCTTGAATGAGATGTTCTGTGTGGAAATTTAGAAGGGGCGGGTCCAGCGTGGTGATGAGTTTTACTCCAAAACTTTCAGGGTGAAAAAAAAACGTGCTCCCAAACTTATTCGGACATTGACCTGGATATGGAAGGTAAGGCTTTGAGATTCTGTGAGTGGTATACCCAGCCTGACCCTGCCGACTGTTGGATCGGGATTTCAATCCCATGTCAACATGGAAAGGCCATGCCAATACAGCTAGTCACCTAGTCACCATGTGTGACTGTGTAACTGCAACCGCACAATAAATATTGCAAACACACGCGACAACCACTAGCTCCAGGGCCATTGTTATTTCACCCACTCTCAAGGAAAGTGAGTACAACGTACAACTACTCAGAAACTACTTTGACAAGTGTAATTAGTTTCCTTGTAGATACTGGAACACCCAGCTCGACAAGCGAAGCCGATCCATATCCATGTTTTGAAGACTATCAATCTGTATACATACAAATATATATATATGTATAGTGATATATATATATACATACAATCCTTCTGGGAGCCTGCTCACATGGGCACCTGATTTTTCAGACAAAAAACGGCAGTCCAGCTTAAACTACTGAAATGGCACATCTATGCACATCTAAAGAATCACTACCTAGGATGCCTCGGGGTCTGACACCCTCTAAAAAATCATGGCCCAGGCAACCAACTACAAAAAAAATATACAAGCAATTCTCTAAAGAATCAGGGGTCCGTGTGAGCCACGTGAATGCCACAAAACATTTGAAACTTGTTGTCAATCTTGTAGTTTGTTTGACTCGTCTGTAATACAAGCGGTACCGGCGCACAACAGCTGTTTTCGCAAATTAAAAAAAAAACAAAGGCATGTCAATTGGCCCTCAAAATGCCTTCTCTAAAAATAATGACCCAGGATTGGCCCTGCCAAAAAACATGGAGTCCAGGTTAGCCATGTGGAAAACATTGTTTTTCTACTATACCCCCCCAAAAAGAAGCAGCATTTGTTGGGACAACTGGGCTGTCTGATTCTTTAGAGGAATTTCTAAGGGGGATTACAATATGTATATATATATATAACATACACACATATATATAATACATATATATATATAATACATATATATATATATACATACATATATATATATATATACATACATACATATATATATATATACATATAATTATTTATATATATACATATATAATTATTTATATATGTACATCTATATATATATATATGATTATTTATGTATATATATATATATTATATACATATAATTATATATCTATATGGTTGTTGATCAAAATTCCTTTTTCCCGGAACGGCCATTCTTCGCGAATAAAAATTTTACTTTCGCGAAACTTTCGCGAACTCCATGTTTATCTTTCGCGGGGCCCATGTTGGCCAACAACACCTCTTATAAAGATTCGTTCACCACCTGCCAAATTACGCCAGAGAATCACGGATCACTTCTTGATAGCCTTTTAAACATGCAGCTAGCATCACGGAATCCCTTCTCAGGGCAGATTGTTGCTGACTAGGTTTTTTTGGCAAGGTTTACTGGTCCACCCCCTTCAACATGCACTTTGACTTTCGCCCGCTCTTTCGCATAACTTTCGCGGAACTTTCGCGAAAATATCCCTATTCACAGACCCAGGCCATCAGCAGGGGGTGCATTGAAGGCAAACGAACACCAAGGGCCTTGGTGCTTGGCTCTCGCAAAGCCTCACTTTTGGAAACTTGGCTACTGCATTTGAATTTGGAGCTTGTTTCTTGAGACTTCAAAAAGCATCATTAGGTAGTGACAGCGGCAGGTGCAAGGATGTGCTTCAGGACCATGGCGTTTGGCTGTTGCGAAGTCTCGCCTTTGGAAGCTCGGCTGCTACCTATGAAGGGCGTGATTGTCCACAAGCACCACCATACTGGGAACTGAACCAGAACCAAACCGAAATTCTTAGTGCCCTTCTCCTGCCGGACACCGGGCGGCAGTGGGTGGCAGCCCTTTACATAATGATTATGATATCCAACTTTCGCGAAACTTTCGCGAAACAAAATTTTACTTTCGCGAACTCGAAAAAAAACTTTCGCGAAGGTTTCCAACATAACATGCACGGCTTTCGCAATTAAAACTCCTTACAAGGACCTTTAGATCGATCACCATATATTGTGTAGGCGTGCGCCGTGTGCGCGTGCTTGTGCATGTATATAACTGACCCCAATAAATTCGCATGGGTGCCCGCACGATATGAAACCACAACATCTCAAGCACACCATGTCAGAATATATCAGATCAAGTCTCGCGTCTTTGTTCTGAAAGGATTTACCTCAGGCTGATGGAGTCACTTCACCAAGACGAAGCACAACAAGAAAAGAAGGAACTGCTTGCCAACCACAATTGAACTCCTTGACAGGTTGAATCTGCATGCCTGACATGTTGCTCTCTTAAGTCTACTTGCCTCTGCGCTGTAGTTTGTCCTGACACTAACCTAGGAGGATGTTTTGGTGAAATAATGTGGCACACGGTACTGTATCCAACAGTGAAACACCCCCAATTGCACCACAAATGATTGTGTAAACCCCCCAAAAGTGGTGGTCGGGATTGGTCGGGTATTATTGGATTTCCCTGGCCGTCCGCATCACTGGTGGCCTATGCCACCTGTGATCCATTTCCACCACGGTGCTCAAGCAGTATGGTAGACCGGCGCCTCTATCAGGCACATCGCTGCCATCAACGTGGAAGCTACCATCCTCCTCCGTACGGGGCGATCAATCATTCAAAAATCACCAGAAATGCTGGGATAGAAGGTTGCACCACCTCAATTTTAATATTCTTATGGGGTTTGCCACATTATTTTATTATTTCACCAGAACATCCTAGATCTTCAAAAGCTGGCTGAGTTTCTCAGCCAGTTGAAATCTGTGTTTTCTATCTTTTGGGCCGGCGTTTGCACTCCTGATCCTCCTTAAATTTCAAAATTTACCATCTGGTTATTTAACATAGCCATGGAAAATCCCTTATAAATGGAGGTGTTAATGGGAAAATCATCTATAAATGGGAAATTTTCCATGGCTATGTTAAATAACCAGAGGGTAGATCATATCTGGGAACATGGAGGCCCTGCCAGTTCCACCATCTTCCACCCTTTTTGCACCCCTCTGCTGCAGCGTCCTGTCGCCGCAGGACAGTGACCTAGGTAGGTGGGATGATCGCGTGGCGCAGAAACTGCGGCTGTTTTTGAGCCAATGGGTGGCATTTGGTCATACTAAAATAGAAAGAAATGAAAACCACTTCTACAAAACAGTCATCGATTTTTTCCTTTATCTTTGGGGACCAAAGAAAACTTTCACATTTCCCAGTCCTCCCCAGCTCGTGCACGATCTCGTCCAGCATCCGCTTGAGCCGAGGTGCATCTTCCAGCTGTAAGGGCAAAAAGCGAATGGGGTTTGGTGGCGTCCCCATTGACTGCATCTGGTCCCCATCATCACCCTCGCCTGCCGTCAAGTGGCTGGTGGCACCCAACAAGAAGTCGTCAAACGAATGAGGCAATTGTTCCAAGCAGCCAAGGGAAACTACAAGGAAATATTCCAAAAACGATCCCGGATTTCATTGCCAACATCATGAGTTCAACTATGTTCCACTGAGGATCATATATGCGTCCTTTCATGAGTCCCTCAAATGTGCTGTTGTGCGAACCTGGGACCCCACAACATGCCAAGTTACAAGCAGAAAAAAAAGTTGTATCACCAAGTTTCTCTAACCTTAAGGAGGTGCATCAACACTAGTTGGTTCATAGGTTTCCCTATGGGTAATAATCAATCCCCCATAATGTCAGTAAAGCAGTAAACCACCTAAATTACCATTGTTATGGATGGTATAAGTCATCAAAATATATCAAAATATTGAATATGGGTGGTTTATGACATGGTTTTACCATGGTTTTACCAACATTCACCCAGGTGGTATAAGTCCCTATTTCATCACCAACCAGAAGCTCCTCGATGCCAAACGTTCGTATGCCACCGTGCCGCATCCGGCTGGGGCAACGCCGGCCCGGAACTGGAACAGTTGCAGCCCATGGCGCAAGTCTCAAAAGGTGGCTGCCACGCTTCAATGGATGGGAAAAACACTAGGAAGCCTTCTCAGGAAGCCATGGTTTTTGTATGTTTTTGTTGTTTTTACCAAAGCGCTTGGGCCAAAACGGCTGGCATCGCTGGTGATTGTGAAGCCATGACCACATATTTCTCCGTACCTGAAAGTTATCATTGATCAAACTGTTCAAAGACGTTACTTGGATGCTCTGCCCTGCCACCAATTTGATTGTTGGATGGGTAGTACATGATGTTCACTGTTCAATCACTTTGCCAAGAAAGACTTCGAAAACTTCCACATAGTCAACATTGTGCAAAACTGCGCATCATCTTTTCTTTTGCTGCTCAAGCATCCAACTGCTTTCGCACCTCAGTAGCAGGAGAGTTCGAGCTATACCTCCCATTCACTGCATCCTCCTGCAAACCAACTTGGCAATCGCGAAGAACTTATGTAACAAAAACTCAGTTTTTCCTGAACCAGTAGATATTGAACAACGATTTTCAAAGAGGCCCCGTTCGTTTCCAGAAAATTGGTGGGAGAGAAAATTTACACCATCCATCTTAGGCCAGTACGGGCCAATTGAGCCTAAAAGCCAACTTCGTATCATTGCATATCATCGTATCCGCAAAGCCAGAGAGTCGACATAACAGCCATCTATACATATACATATATTTATATATACATATAAAATCTAGAGAAAGATTTGGTAATCTGATAGGTGGTTACAACCCATCCTACAAGTAGATCGTGAAACATCCCCACATGTGATCGTCCACTGCTGGCAGCCTCTAAAAGTTGCTTGTCTTCAGCCGTCCAGAAGGTCCTGTGAACGGGCTAGTGAGGGGTTAGGCTCTCTCTCTATAGCATTATTTAGCGCCATAGTAGAGAAAAGGACTCCAATCTTTTTGATCGTTTTGGCAAAAATCATCAAAAATCCCAACTTCTGTATATAAATGTTGGTTTTGTCGGTTTCAAGTTGATCATTGGATTGGTTTAAGGGATAATCTACAGGAAAGCCCTATATTTCATGGTAAAAACCATGGTTCCTGTAGATTTTCCCATCAACCAATCCATTGAGTTGAAGTTTCAAGACATGGCTCCAACATCTCTGACCCTTTTTTTGGGCTTGATCCTGCGGGGGCTCTGCTGGATCTTCTGCAGCATGGCGTTTTTTTGTTCCCGCGCTGTCCTGTCGTGGCTCCCAGGATGGCCGGGATGTGGCTGGCTGTCTGAAAAAGGGGTATATAGATTATATTGTATCAATAATTTATTATCATATTATATGGTATTGAATTGTACATCATTATACTCTTTTGTATTCTCTATTGTATTGTATTGTATTTATATAAAGTCCCGTGTCCTGTCCCTGAAGGTTTATTACTGGATCTATTCATTTTGGGATTCCATAAAGGTGGAGTTAATATTAGGGGGAAGGGATTATGATCCAAAATCCCATTGCTAATCATCATATCATAATATCTATCAACGAAATGGCCAGTTGCATTGTAAGGCACTCCCACGAAGTGACTTGGCAAAGGAGTCGGCTTACTGTAAAGTACCACCTACCATCACCATGTATGTATATGTATGTGCCATCAGTTGCCCTTTTTTATATGGGAAATGACATAGGTTCCTCCGGTTCCTCCTATTCCTCAACGAGCAAGTGGAAAGACATGGAAAGATGACGTCTATGATCAAGATAGATTTGGAGCCGCAATCATCAGCTCAAATGGAACCTATACATTCTGTGCGTGCAGGCATTTTTTCTGCTGGGTGTGTTACACCAACCATCTGTGCATCATTTCAAATTCTTGACGATTGAGATGCTCAAAGCGCAAAGATTGGATGGTTTGATGAATTGTGATGAATTGTGATGAATTGTGATGAATTATGATGAATTATGATGAATTATGATGAATTATGATGAATTATGATGAATTATGATGAATTATGATGAATTATGATGAATTATGATGAATTATGATGAATTATGATGAATTATGATGAATTATGATGAATTATATGGCTGGAATCCGGCCCAAAGCTAGTTCCGATGGCAATTCACCAGCGCTCATCCCTGCAGCGCCTCTCACGCTCACGCATCTGTTCCAGCCTCAGAGAGAGCTCTCAATATTTCTCAAACAAAAGGTAATTTGGTTAAAACAATCATAAACCACCCCATTTTGGATGGTCTATACCACCCATTTATGGTGATTTTGGGGATGGTTTATGGCATTGTTTGAACCACATAACCAATTAACAGCAACAGATGCAACAGCTGGGTCTTTCTGACACTTCCCCCAAGGAAGCCATCTCCCTCGACATGAGGCGACCAAGCAACAATCGCGCTTTGGTCTCTTCGGGATCAGTCCGCACCTGGCACTGGGCAGGACTCGGTCCGACCGGATCTTTCTGCGTGCAGCGCCGGGCCGTCTTTTTCATCGCATTCATTTGTGACAGCCATAGCCTTTGGGACCATCCCCCGTGTAGTCCTTTCCGCCGTCCTGAGGTATGGTGAGGTTGGACTGAGGTATGGTGCATCAACCAACATCCCGATTGAGAAGTATCAAAAATTGGTCATGTTGGGGAAGTCTATGTGTTTGGGGTACCCCAGTTTGAGGAAATACCAGCTCTCTCCGGGCAAGACACACAGAGCACCAGAGGTGCCAAACCTTTGGACCCACCCATGAAATGCAGCACCTGCAAGCCTGGGCCCGTGATGCATCACCGGTAACAACTTTTCCAAGTGGAACCCCACTTTCATGTCCTTTAAATACAAGATTGGATGGGAAAGACCCATCAACAACATAGAAACATCATGAAATTCCATGAGTCATCTCCATTGGGGAATGTCAAGCTAAGTCAGCTCCTACTCAGATATGTTCACATATATATATAGATCTCCAAGTTTGATTTCAGGCACTTCTGTGACGCGGCCAAGAGGCGCTCATCTTTCATTCCAAGCGCCTGGCTTGTACGAAATCGGGCCTGGTATGGCCTGGTTGATTCATAGCGGCCTACCATGGTTTGATCATTTCACTGAAACATGGATAAACATGAGTAAACATGGTACCCCATGTTGATCAACCAGAGGCTCATGGTCTATACTAATCTAGGGGCAATGTTGGATTGCAAGCAATCACAGAAGCAATCTTGGACCACAACAGACATGTTGCAGGGAGACCTGTCATCGGTGGTCACCATGACCACATATCAGCTGAAAAATTGCACCCGGGAGTTTCTGAGATCAAAACCAAAAAAAAGAAGCCTAGAGAACTTGTGTAAGGCTTGTAAGGATCGACCCCATGATTTTCCTATGATTTTCATGGATGCCCTGATGCCCAATTATTTTCCATGAAATTGTCCATTGGCTCTTCCCAGCCTCCATTTTGGGGTCAGTGATGGGCTCGCCACAGTGCTTCACAGTGCAGCCGCCACGGTTATAAATGACACCACTTTCCTCTCAACGGATTTGGTTTTCGAATGGACCTACCCAACCAACTTTGGACAGAAACTATGGACATCTATCTGCTGGATGTTTTAAGGACTTTACCAAACTGGGGATACTCGGATAGTCTCAATGGATCCGTTCTCTATGAAAACTCGGGAAAATGCGTGTTTCTCTCCACACTTGGGTTTCCGTAGATTTTCCAAACAACAATTATGAGATTTTGAGGGAGTCTTAATGGATCGATTTTCCAGGGGAAATCATGGAACATGTATGACACCATGGAGGTTTTACCATCAAGTACAGGGGAATACAGGGGAGTTCCTGCAAGTTCTCCTTTACAACCAGCTCTGGGCAAGGGCTATGAACAAGAGTTGGCGCTTTAAACTTTAAACCCAAATTATTGCGAGTGTCTTGCACAATTGATGAGTTGTCTGATCATTTTGATCCTTTAGTGGCATTTAGCGGTGGCTAAATAACCCACACCACCTCGCATCCTGCCGCAAAATCCCAAGGTATCAGCCGTTTCATCAGTCACGACCAGGTGGGACCATTTAAGGGCACTGCCAAGGCCAAGCATCCAAGGACATGTGGCCTTTCACGAGTTCCTTGTTGGAACCTAAGACGCCCAAAAGCTGAACAAAAAACACAAAAAACACGTCTGCCGCCTGTGAACTGTGTTTGTTCACGACTTATTTCCCAACGAAGACCCTTGTGGGGTTTAGGGTTCTCCACGGATCAAACAACTGATGCTTGCTGAGAGAGAGAGAGATATATATATATATAAATAAATAAATAATAAATAAATAAATAAATACACATCTATACATATATATATATAAATACACACCTATATGTGTATATACAATTATATACATATTTTAATGTTAATTGTGTAGCTCAAACACTGCATGAGTTGTTCCAAGACCTTCTTTTTTCAAGGTTTTTCGCCGTTGTCATAGCAAGAACTCTGGGGAGCCAGTCAAGCAAAACAGACCACCAGGGAGACAGGCCAGCCATCCTAAGCATAGATACATTACGATACATTAGATACCCTGTTCGTCAGTCCCTCTCTCCATTGCCTTCTCGAAGGGTTAAGCTAAAGGCGAGTGAAAAAAAAACACTCGTTTCACCAGGGTAGACAGGAGTGTCAGCAGCCGAGGCAGATTAGTAATGATTAGTAGATAACCCCAACTAGGACGGGAAACCACATTTCAGCTGCTTTAAGCTCTATAACTCAGCCAACTTCCCAAGACCCGCGAATGCTTTAAGCTCTAGTGTCCCACCATGTCCCACCAACTTCTGGAACAAAGCAACCGCTCATGATGTCGTTCAAGCAGATCTGCTCATTACTGCTGCACTCCTGGTGCTCTATGCCTCGACACCAAGTCTAGAGAGGTGCGGCTTAGCACAGTTGCTTCACCATGACTACGACTTTTCCTCGCAAATTATTGGCCAAATGGATGTGGGCAGAAACATAAACATCCAATATGTATATGCGCATCACATATGTATGCATGCATGATCATGCATGTATCTGTTACATATATATATACATACATGATATACATGTATACATATATCATTATCATGCATTATGATGCATTATGTATAATGATGTATGTTCCATTATGTTCCCAGAAAATTCACATAGATTCATATCATATCAATGGATAGCCCATGGGTTCCCTTGGACATCTCAAACTGGCGAGCTGCCAATACGCCATCTTCTCAAGCCGCCCGGGCCCACGACATGAGCGCGGAAGGTGTCCTAAGATGGTGGCACCCCCAAAATTAGCGCATCCCCATTGAAGAGGCCATGAGAATTTAAACATTCGCATTTTGAGAAAACACCAGCTTGAAGATTGGGCATTTTTTTAAGGTTAAATCTCTATGCAGATTGAGTTACTATATAGACTGGGTTTCCTTAGTCATAGGGATACCCCAAATCATCCAAGTCATGAACGACCAGTACTTAGTATTGAAAACCATGGTGACTTGGGGATCCCCCATTTTAGGAACTCCCATTCAATCATATTTAATCTTAGGGGGAGGGATGATTTTTCGGGGCTTCAATTTCGGGCTGAACTGCATGTATGTATCAGATACTATAAGTGTAAAGTCCCAAAAATGAAGGTGCTCACATGTCTGGAGTCCAATACTGTTGGGGCTCACTTTTGTTTGTCAGCCTTTGCTTTCCAATAATTTCGACTTCATCCATTTGAAAGGCCATTCTGGCAGGTCCAACATCCCCAACTGTCCTGGAAGAGATGTTGCGACCACTCTGAGTTCCTCCCGTGGGACAGTTGGGAGAAGCCCCAAACATGCAGTTCTGAAAGGGAGAGGCTCATCCGCTAGGACTTAACAGCGATGTAATGACTTAACCGACTTAACCCCGGGATTCAATGTGATATCGCCTGATCGCCACCCATTTCGACCTCCGGTTAGGACATGTGCCTGGTCATCAGAAAGCCGCCGTTGATCCGATTCTCGCCATTCAGCAGCCAATCCTCCTGAAACGACCATCATTGGGATACAATTGGGCCAGCAGATTTGGTCATGTATGGTACTTGAGTTGTTGCAAACAAAGCTCGCTGGTCAGGAACACATCCAGGTTGCGTTTCTCCATGTCTTTTGCAATGTTGCCTTGGAACTTGTGGGGCAACGAAGCACTGTGGAAGAGAACTTCCAAAGTTTCAATTGATTGTCATTGTCATGCCGTTAGATGGATTTTTTTTAATAGGGTATGGCTGTGATTGCTGTGAGATGCTTGTCATTTCTGATTTCTGCAAGTATCTCCACAGATCCGTCTCTCAGTGCCACCTGGAAAAAGACTTCAAATAAATTGAGAGTTGAATGGCTGCCCCCAAGCTGTCCCAAGCCGTTCTTCTGATTTCTAGTGTTGACCATCTGTGAGTGCCAGGAGAGCCAAAGTCAAGTCTTGTATTATATATATAAGTAATATCGAAGCAGGCACGTTATAACTTACACCATGCAACAACAAACACATACGTACATTACATTACATTACATAACAATACATAACATAACATAGCATAACATAACATACATTACATACATTACATACATTACATACATACAGTACATACATTGCATACATTGCATACATTGCATACATTGCATACATTGCATACATTACATTACATTACATTACATTACATTACATAACATTAACATTAACATTAACATTAACATTAACATAACATAACATAACATTACATTACATACATATATACATACAAACATACATATATATATATATATCAAAAAATGTATGACTAACTATAATATTCTATATGTGTACAATATATATATATACGGTGTGTATATATATATGCATACATTAAATCAGTGGATTCTCTCTCTCTCTCTCTCTCCCTTTTTTCCGGCTTTTGATTTTTTTGAAGCCCAAAAGTTGCGAGTTTCTCAAGCGCCAAGGCACCCAGGATATCCAAGCTGTGCTTCACCAGCGCAGCATCAGCATCCAGCATGAGCACATGTGTGAAGTTCTGGGGGCTTATCAAGTACTCGTAGAGCATCCTGGGAACGGAACGCTTGATCTATAGTTTTTTCGTTTTAATACCGAAGATTAATATCTGGCAAGTTTGGAACATATGGGACCGTGACGATGAACCATGAGATTTCGGGGGCATCACAGGCATCTTTCACAACACCTTTATCTGTAGGCATAAGAAATTCTGGGCATATCATCAATACTGGAGGCTCGTCTAGACATGGGCAATGGTATTGGATGACTGTCAAAATGGTGTATATATATAATTATATATATATAGTTCAACGATTACAGTAGAACCGTATGAGGTCAGAAGGTATTGGCATTACAGTTTATTACAGTATCCATATGCCATGACACATGCACATACACACACACACAACATCACAAAACGGTCTTTAATAAAGAGGCTTTGTGCATGGCAAGGCGATCTCCTAAATTCAGGGCCCAGCCAGGGCCCAGCAGGGGCGCCCGGTACTATGGGCCCACAAGCTGACAAGCATCATGGCAATTCACGGAACAAATCGAATGTGAAATTGGACAAACATGTTGATTCCATCTACTTCAGCATGACCCTACATCAAAGAAAGTCTTCGGCCAGGCATATCTACACAAGTTTGAGGGTGTAACAGCCCCATCTGACCTTTACCCCACCATTCACAAACCAGGGACAGGTGCTTCTCCCAGTTGAAGTTTTCACGTTCGTTGTTTCGGGTGCACGTCCTGAGCTCCCGGAGATCAGGGTTCTTCTTCTTCTCTGGGTGGACTTTGGACAGAACAAAAAACCAGAAACTCAGTTTCTTCCCCAGATGTTTCCACTCAAACTCATCACTGGCTTGGTTTTTGACCAAAAATATTAAGCAGAAACCCAGATAAACCCAGGAACCCAGGGACCGGGTCATTTTTGCCTCCTATTTCCGGAGGTGTCAACCGCAAACTTTCCCATCATTCAATATCACTGCAGCGGTGGAGACCACCAACCGGTTAGCCCCATGACCCATCGAAATCTTCTAAAACTGGGTCCAAAAATGCAGTATGTACATGTTACATGTATATTACTGCATAATGTATAATATACCCCAAACAGTGCCATATTAAAATAAAGCATATGGACACATGATGGGACTGGGTAATGTCAACCCTGGACTACTAAACTTCGTTGATTCACTCTGGGGGTCACCTCCAAATTTAAAGTAATTAGTCAAAAAATACTATTAAAATTTGTATTTCAGTATATCAAAATCCCAAATAGGGATTGCAGAATCAATATGAATCAATAGAATCAGAATGCTTGAAACGATCCCTCCCATAAAAAGAAAAAAAACTGTCACACATGAAGGAAATTGCAAGTGGAAAATCGGTGTCATGACAAGTCTCTTCTCGTCCATCTTGACACACCCCCTCCGTTGCCATTTGGTCAACTGGGGCTGCGTTGGCTGCCAGCGCAAAATCACACAGTGGCCGTGCAGCCCTGAGCAGTGGGATTTTTTCTGAGAAGCCAAGAAGTTCAACTTGGCTAAACCACATTGGCTATGGAACAAAAATAGCTACAAGTACCTCAGAGACCATATGGATCCATATGATTGGTCATAGTGCCAAACCATCCATTTTTTTGGCGTCACGAGGGTCAACAAGTTTGAGACATACCCAGATTTTTGCAACACCTGGTTTCAACACCATCCAGCGAAAAACACGAAAAATGGATGGCTCGATGGTACTTCAAATATCTTATATAAATATATCTCTCTCTCTCTCTCTCCCTCTCTCTTTGCTGCACCTTGCCTTGGTAATCTTGGTATACCTTGGTACCATTTCTATTAGCCCCATCCATATCATCCATCCCAAAGCCACGTTTAGCAGGTCAGGTGGCTCGCGTGATGTCGGTTGGTCGCCAGGATGGCCCTGAGCCACCTGGAGAAAAACTGGCGAAGCTTGATGAAACTGATATTGTCATCATGGTAATGCCATGAAAACCAACGAACATCCATAGAAAATCCATAGAAATCCATGACAATCAATGAAAATCCATAGAAATCCATGACAATCCATAGAAAATCCATAGAAATCCATGACGATCAATGAAAATCCATAGAAATTCCATGACAATCAATGAAAATCCATAGAAATCCATGACGATCAATGAAAATCCATAGAAATCCATGACAATCAATGAAAATCCATAGAAATCCATGACAATCAATGAAAATCCATAGAAATCCATGACAACCAATGAAAATCCATAGAAATCCATGACAATCAATGAAAATCCATAGAAATCCATGACAACCAATGAAAATCCATAGAAATTCCACGACAACCAATGAAAATCCATAGAAATTCCATGACAATCAATGAAAATCCATAGAAATCCATGACAATCAATGAAAATCCATAGAAATCCATGACAATCAATGAAAATCCATAGAAATCCATGACAACCAATGAAAATCCATAGAAATCCATGACAACCAATGAAAATCCATAGAAATCCATGACAATAAATGAAAATCCATAGAAATCCATGACAACCAATGAAAATCCATAGAAATCCATGACAATCAATGAAAATCCATAGAAAACCATGACAACCAATGAAAATCCATAGAAAACCATGACAACCAATGAAAATCCATAGAAATCAATGACAACCAATGAAAATCCATAGAAATCCATGACAACCAATGAAAATCCATAGAAATCCATGACAATCAATGAAAATCCATAGAAAACCATGACAATCAATGAAAATCCATAGAAAACCATGACAACCAATGAAAATCCATAGAAATCCATGACAACCAATGAAACTCCATAGAAATCCATGACAATCAATGAAAATCCATAAATCCATGACAACCAATGAAAATCCATAGAAATCCATGACAATCAATGAAAATCCATAGAAATCCATGACAACCAATGAAAATCCATAGAAATCCATGACAACCAATGAAAATCCATAGAAATCCATGACAATAAATGAAAATCCATAGAAATCCATGACAACCAATGAAAATCCATAGAAATCCATGACAATCAATGAAAATCCATAGAAAACCATGACAACCAATGAAAATCCATAGAAAACCATGACAACCAATGAAAATCCATAGAAATCAATGACAACCAATGAAAATCCATAGAAATCCATGACAACCAATGAAAATCCATAGAAATCCATGACAATCAATGAAAATCCATAGAAAACCATGACAATCAATGAAAATCCATAGAAATCCATGACAACCAATGAAAATCCATAGAAATCCATGACAACCAATGAAAATCCATAGAAATCTATTGCAACCAATGAAAATCCATAGAAATCCACGACAATCAATGAAAATCCATAGAAAACCATGAAATTTTAATCTTGACATATCATGTTGATTGATTATGTTTTTTTTGCCGGGGGGCAGATTGAAATAGATCCAGATATGTTTGAATTGAAAGAATGTCAGTTTGCCGGAAAATGTCCTAAATGTTGCTCAATGAACATTATATGAACTGTTATATCCCTAACTATGTTGCACAATGCAATTCCTAAACAAGCCAGGCCACTACAATCCACTACCCAAAGAAGGTCTGCTTCCTAAAATCATGTTGGAAATTGCTGGATATTGGTACAACAACCATATCCCCATTTCTGTTGTTGTTGTGGGGGATGTGTCAATCTTGTGTTGGATTCTTGGATGATTTTTGGATATCACAGTGACAGCCGCACCTGGGTCGCGCAGCTTTGCGGTGTCCCCAGGTGGAACTGGCATCCATCAGCACAGGCTGGACGATGAGGATACCTCCATGGCCAGCAGGTTGCCTGGGAACTGAAGGAGGTTTTCGGGGGGTCAATAAAGATGGGGCTATTTGAAGTTTGAGGGCATCAAATCGGATCAAAGTCTGTCTTTGCACAGTAAATATAATAGAGCAAAAGATAAAGTATATAACACATATATAGAGAGATAATAAGATATAAGGTCCCCTTGTATATGTGTGCGCACATATCTCTAATCTATCTAGTGCAGCGATCCGAATCACTTGCTTCGGGGCCATTTTCAGATACTTCAGGCCTGCAGCACCAATCGTCATCATCCGTGATCCAAAAGGCCACTCAGGATGTTTAAGGGACATTTTGCAGGAGCCCCCCCAGTTTGATGGGAAAAACCCAACGAAAACGAAAAAAACAAACGGTTTCCAGGTGAAGCTCTTTCCCTTTCTCCGGTTCACATTCCAAAAACCAACCACTCATGATACTTTTCTGGCCTGGCATCGATGATGAGTTCATCTTCCTTCACCAGCCAACTGGGCCGTTTTCCGTCCGCAATGGGCAAGCCATCCTTCCCAGCGTTCAGGACATAGGCTGGCGGCTTCGTGGTGCTCGGCTTCTTCGTCGTTGGACCTGGCATCTGGGAGTTGAGCCGGGAGAATCAAGCCACACAGGTTGATTTGTCAATGAACAAACTTGTATCATCTTACAATCATCTTACCATATCTTACCACAACCTCAAAGAATTGGGGATGGTTTTGGGATGTGTTGAAATATTTTGGGATATATTTATTGAATTTCAGTGCTGCGTATGCGTACTGTGGGTTTTCAAGCCAGTTATATACTGATAAACTTCAAGGATCATCACAGAGTTTGTAGCCAGGTCGTTGGTAAGTCGAGTAGAACCGTGCATTAGTGGCGTGCAAACACCTGTAAACACAACTGTATACCTTTATGTATATATATATATACATGTATGTGTGTGTGTATGTGTGCGTGCATATATATATATATGTGTATATCCGCCGACCCCGGCCGACGCAAGGGGGAGCGCGTAAGGGAAAAAGAGGTACTGGAAAAGAAACATGTACAGGTCTCAAAATGTATATATATATATAGATTCAAAAAGAAAGTAGGCCAGCTAGGTTTCAAACATTGAAAAAAGTACACATATGGGAATGTCTTAAACTGAGGTATCCGTATTTCCCCTTAAAGTACCTATTTTGGAACCAAAAACGGACACCTCATCTTGAAACATATCCATATGGAGAAAGAAGTAACATTTATAACTTTTAGATAAATTGAATCCTTGAGCATCAAAATTAGAGATGATTTCACAACACCTCTAGGAAATTCTGCCATCGGAAATAAAATCCGCCGACCCCGGCAGACGCAAGGGGGAGCGCGCCAGGGAATAAGACATTGTCCCATTTGCCATTCGAAATTGACGGCCGCAATGCCCCTGTGTTTGGACTTTTCCTGTGATAAGACATTGTCCCATTTGCCATTTGAAATTGACGGCCGCAGTGCCCCTGTGTTTGGACTTTTCCTGTGAACAGTGTGGATTTGGTAGCTTTGCCACACCGGGAGGTGCTTTTGGTACTCTTCTTTCAGCAATAGCAGCAGCAGCACCACCACCACCACCAACACCAGCGCCAGCAGCAGCAGGAGGAGGGAAAAGGTAGCTAAAATCATCCTTTTCTTTGGGTTTCAGAAGTTACATTAGGCATTTTTTGGGCGCAATTTTGATGCCTTACCGCCCCTCGCTGCCATGGTGTTTTCCCATCCGGGAGCTAGCATTAGAACAGAGGGAGCAGCAGGAGCAGGAGCAGCAGCAGCAGGAGGAGGGAAAAGGTAGCTAAAATCATCCTTTTCTATTGGTTTCAGAAGTTATACATTAGGCACTTTTTTGGTCGCAATTTTGCTGACTTTCCGTCCTTCACTGCCATGGTGTTTTCCCATCCGGGAGCTGCCATTTGAACAGAAGCAGCAGCAGCAGGAGGAGGAAAAAATTGCTAAAATCATTCTTTTCGATTGGTTTCAGAAGTTACATTAAGCACTTTTTGGGCGCAATTTTGCTGCCTTTCCGTCCTTCCCTGCCATGGTGTTTTCCCATCCGGGAGCTGCCATTTGAACAGAAGGAGAGCGGGAGCAGCAGCAGGAGGAAAAGGCAGCTAAAATCATCTTTTTCTATGGGTTTCAGAAGTTACATTAGGCACTTTTTGGGCGCAAATTTGCTGCCTTTCCGTCCTTCACTGCCATGGTGCTTTCCCATCCGGGAGCTGCCATTTGAACAGAAGGAGCAGCAGGAGCAGAAGCAGCAGCAGCAGGAGGAAAAAATTGCTAAAATCATTCTTTTCGATTGGTTTCAGAAGTTACATTAAGCACTTTTTGGGCGCAATTTTGCTGCCTTTCCGGCCTTCACTGCCATGGTGTTT